TTTTTTTTGTCTGTTAAGACCATAGACGTTTAAAACTGTCGAGATGTTTAAGATGGTAATTCATTTTTCAAAAGCCTGTAAGTGTAAACTCTCAAATCTCCTTCTGGTTTTAAGATTAACTTCATGCCCTGTCTTTAACAATTCAACTTTCCCATCCAATCAAAACTCTCAGTGCCTCCTCTCCCTGACTGTCTTGTGTGTCGTGTTAATAATGAAATGCCCCACACGGCGCCCCCTACAGGGCTGGAGTACTCTAATCAACACCACCATGCAGGCACCAGAGCGTTCAAAAGCGTTTGCTAACAATTGCATCACCACCGGAGGCACTGCTTGTCTACAGGCAAGCAGGCAACTGCTGCGGGCCCAGAGGCCAGACTGACAAACTTAAAACCACAGCAGTAGCTCAACATGTGCAAATTTTGCAATGACAGTAGGAAACCTCCCTAATGAGGACCCATTTGACAGAACTCACTCTCATTGCCCTACTTAGCATCTCATGCATTATTCCTTCATTTAAATTAAACCACCTAAGGAAAATGAGGAGGAATGATCTGTCTGGGAGTGAAAAAAGAAAGAGGGAGAGCGTTGAAACACTGGCAGACATAATGGTGGTTGGAGGGGCCACTAATTATTTTTTGCCCACGGCCCCCAACAGACTCTAGAATCGCCACTGATCACCACATGTTTCAGGGGTTTCCATGATGATTTTCGGTTATTACAAAGTACACATCAACCCTACAAAGCCCGGTTGTACGGCTATTGTTTTATCATGCATGAGCAACACAGTGTCCACATGAACACTCACTTCACTGTTGAGTTGAAGAAGCTCAGTTATAGACATCCATCCAAAGCACAAGTGTAGCTCCAAATTAACTTCAAGGACAAGCTTTGTGAACTTAGCACCACATGTCTTAAATCAACGTCACAAAACCCCATGCTATTTTGCAGTAAAATCTGTAATTCAAGATGTTCCCAATGTGGGCACGAGTTCATTAAATTCAGTGAAGAAGTTTTATTTTTTATATTTTTCACAAAAACAACCCCTCATTTGGGAAAACATTTGAGCTTGCATGACTTAGGTGCATTAAACCCAGAGTCAGCCGGCGTGACAGAAAATAAAAGGATGAACAGGCTCTGCAGCAGAAACAATGACAGACAGACTGACAGCTCGAACGGAAATGAAACTCACCTGGGGCAAGTCGACGGGAAGGTTTTTGGGGTATTTTTTTTGTAGCAGTATTGTCAGAAAAACAATGGTGGTCGGCAGCCAAAGGATATTCATTGTAAGCAAACACAATCCATAGACACAGGATTCCCCCCCTAAAAAGAGAATAACTGAGGTGAGAATCTGTCACTCACTCTGAATTCCCCGCAGTCCTGAAAATTGGGAAGGCATGCAAATGAGGGAGAGAAGACAAACACAAAAATTGCATGTCATAGTTGCATGCAATAAACCGAAGCAGTCAGGAGTCTTTGTAAAGGATGGACACAGTTCACGTGATTATCCTGGTTCAGTTTCTTTCATAGAGCAGAGTTCAAACAATAGAGTGCAGCTCTGTCTGGATGATTTCTTATCTAGAGTCCTGATTTGATTGGCAGGGAAGAAACCTCGGAGCTGTCTGGGTCACCTGAAAACCGGATGACTGAATCTAATTTCCATATGTAATTTTCTCCCAGTCGAATGTTACGCTTCTGCCAAATGAATCGACTGTGTTATGTCAGTGTTGCACTGTATTAGCACTGAGCTATCAGTGGCAGAGGATTTAAATATCAGCTTAAAGACGTCTCTTTACTCCAGGGCTGCTCATGGTTACAAGGTGACAGAACGCAGTGATGGGTGCTTTATGTCACTGCTTTGTTTGTTTGTGTAAGCAACTAAAAAACAGCCTCTTTACACTTATGAATCCAACCCGGTTTTACACAATACAGTATGTAAGTAAGTTAACGAGTCATGATCTGAATGACTTTACATAATCAGGTATTTCATGCATTAAACTGCATAATACAGCAAATAATGCAACTACAATCACAAGACTCTTCAAGACATTAAGTGCAGCTAGGCGTACGATTCCACACTGCATGTCAATTTAAATCACAATTTACCACAACATATGCTTTAAAACCCTTGGGCTGTACTTGGCTAAAGTTATCTGTAATTCAAAGTTGTTTTAGAGGAAACCAAATGCAAATTCATTAAATGATTACAAAGTGATTACATTTTAATCCGGCTCTCTGCATGAAAAGAACCGGAGTTAATATCTGAAGGGAAGCCGGGGATAAAAGTCAATAATTAGCTTCTTTTGCTCCACACAATACAAAAGCACAACAGAAAAATATCAGATCATCTAAAGAACATTTACTCAAGTCTGTCGATAAAAAGGGGGCTTAAGATCCCTGCAGTGAAATTCAACATTTAACATGGTTTAAGCTCATGGACCACTGGGGTCACACATGCACGCACACACACTCGCACATCGTTCACAGCCCAGCTTTCCTTTCATTGTGAAACACTAATCTGAAGCCTGAGCTCTAAAAGCAGCCATTGTGTGCTGGAGCTGCTGCTGCTGAGTTTAGCAGCGCTTTGGAAACCCCAGCACTGTCGGTAACTCGGTCATACTGTACCATCGTAAGGCGACAGAAATAGATGAAAATGTTACATTTATACTTTCACATCTAACAATAGCAGTGAAAAGCAATGAAAATGAATGAATATATACTGATAAAGTTCGGATCTGAAAAGTCATTAAACCAATATAAAATGCTGGGACAGCGCTGTCATGCCTGCAAGTGCAGCTGCCACCATCACCCACTACATGCACCCTGACACCATTAAAAAACTAGCCCCCATTCATCTAAATGTTTTGGCTTCACTTGCAGGGAGCTGTCATGTCGTCCTTTCGTTGTTTAGTCTATGGTTGATACTTCGGTCTGTAGGGACTTCGAGCCTACAAGCACCAAATCTGGAAATTGGTCTGGTAGCTGGAGAGGTGCCAGACCACTTCCTGAGCACTGTCGAGGTGCCCTTGAGCAAGGCACTGAACCCCCCAACAGCTCAGGAGTGCTCGCTGTGGTCAGCCCCCCCTCATTAGTGCATGTCCATAGTATCCTGTTTGTGCATGTGTGTGTGTAGCATGTTTAACAACAGAGTGTAAAAATTGAATTTCCCCTCACAGGATGAATAAAGTATATCTTATCTAAAACAGATGAGATGTTAACATGTTGCACATGTTTGTAGCGCTATAGCTACCTAAACAAATGTGAAACGTCATTACATATCAGCATTTTAAATATGTGTAAAAATTGTGTCTTAAATTTAGATGAGTTAGTTTTTTTTCAGGAGAGAAAAGAAGAAAAGCCAAGATGGAGAGGATGGATGGATAACAGGATTTGACGGGTCGTGCCAAGCGTCTGCTGACACTCAGAGCTCAGTAACTATTTCACTGCCATGTGTGTGATCCTCTCACTGTGTGTCACAAACAAACACAAACTTTAACTCTCTCTCACTCCATCTCCGTCTAACACACACTCGGACACACAAGCACATTCATGCACACGGACACACAGGGAAAACAGAATTACAAAAATCCTGTTTCTAATTCTGCTGCTTTTCTCTTATTCTGCACGACGCTGCTCAGGGAGGTGATTCACTGTTTGGTAGTTTCGCACAGTGACAATAAAGACTTGAACCTTGAATGAATCCTGGGGGAACAGTTGGTCACGATGCCAATCATCCTGGACTGAGAATGTTTGATGATCTTCTCTGAGTGTTTCCTCCTCCACAGAGGTCCAACAGGAGTCTGATTTCTTTCTTTTTTTCAAACAGCATCTGAATACAGATCTTAATGTTTATACCCACATAACTACAGATAGAAAAAAAGAAAGAAGTCTACTGTTATGAAATAACGCTGGATGAGGTCACTGCGGTCGGGAATCAGTTCTGGATCTTCACCAGAAACAAATGTGTGATATATCACCACCTACTGGACATAAACGGAACTACATTAAAGACTGTCACTGACGCACTTTACTTGACCTTTTACAGTGAAGGAGGAGAGAGCAGGAAGGAGTTATTTCAGGCCTGTGTGCAGCTCTAAGAGAAAAAAAACTGTGATATCAAGTCATGTGCATCCTTTATCTCTCTTATATTTTATAATGACAAACTTTTCTTTTTTTTTCTTCTCGGGTAAAATCCGTTTTAGGAAGCACTATGGAAAGGGAGGAGTAATTATGAGGTGTCACAAGTAAACAAGTACCTAACCAATAAGTTTAAAAACTACAGGAGATCATTTTAAAAACAAACAATGTAAAGAAAACTGTATTTACTTAACTTTAGAGTTATTGCATCCCAACTAATCAATTTTAGAGACAGGATTGAATCAGTAATCTGGAAGAGTGAGAGAGAGAGAAAGAGAGAGAGAGGGGAACTACATGCGGATAAGGAGCCACAGAATGAACTTGAACCAGCCCACCTGGAGAACCATAGCCTCCATAGGCCTACATGGGGCCACTAGGCCACCGGCATCCCCGCATGCCACGACTAACTTAAAATACACAGTTATATGTTCTGCAGAAAAAGTTAGCCTATGATGGATTATCTGAAATGAAGTCTGAACTTGAGAAGTCTATTTTTGAAAATGACTTATAAATGGGAAACCTTCACTCGTTATGGAGTTTATTTTCTGTGTTTTACCCCTCCTCTCACTGAGCTGAATTATTCCACCTTTTCATTCATGACCGACGACCATGAAACTGGAGTTTCCGAGGGGAACATGAATGCAGCATTATTGTTTTTTAACGCTACATTCGAGTCACGCAGTAGAGGTCGGTGAAATAATCTACCTGTAAACTCAGGACTTATAGGAAGAATGTAATAGTACAATCTGTGTATGAAGAGTCCCTGTGAAGGAAACAGCTTGTAAACAGTCTGACTGCTGTGACTGACCCTCTTCCTTCAGTTCATGTCTGTTAATCATAAACTCATCCTTCCTGCTCTGAGGTATCACTCTCCTCAGCAGAGCCATGAAGGTGGGCGGTGACTGATTCTGTCTGACTGCACGGCTTTAAAACAACAACTCAACAATAAGGGCTTGTTCTTTATTTCCAATTCTCCTCCTCCGGCTACCAAACTGGTTTCAAACTGTTATTTCCCTTTCACCTTGTTTAGAAGAGAAAGTAAAAGCAGGTAAAGAGGAGGTGATAAAACTACGAAACAAGGAGGGCAGGTAGGGATTTTCTACCTGAGCGGCGCAGGTGAGCACACACTTTCTCTCTCTCTCTCTGTCGTATAAAGTGAGCCTGTAACTCTCTAACTTCCTGCACACTTTGTATTAGTGATCTCATGTAGTTTTATTGGAGTCGTGGTGGTATGTTCGCACCTTATTAAGAGTTTATCTGACAGTCAAACACTTTATCTGCAGATTGGAGACTTTTTCATCTGCTGATCCTAATCTGAGTCTCAAATAAAAAACGTCCATGTTTATAATATAACATGGAGATGTAGGCTGTAGTCTGTGTGCAGTGGCGGATTTAGTTATATGGGGGCCCTCTGCATCCGTTTGGCTAATGTAGAGGTTCTCAATTGATGAGACAGGGGACTAAAAAGTGGGTCGCAGAGCCTTTTGCAGTGAGTACCAAATGTACTGTAAAGAAAATTGTCAAAAAAAGGCTGTGAATTTGAGTTTGAAGCATGTTTGTTTTGTTCTGTTCCTTTGATCAGTCACATTGTTTGTAACTTCTGACGTCCAAACTGCACAATTCTATAACAAACAAATGTGATTGGTTGATTTGGTTACTGATGAAGGGGTTGGTAGTGGGTCTTGAAGTTAGACCAGTTGGGAACCACTTGTCTAAAGTCCTACTGTTGAAGCAGGTTGAAGGAGGTTGACTGTAATCCTCCTGTGTTTTATCTTTTGTTACAGTGAGAGGATAACACACAAAAGTATGAAATAATGGAGACACAGAAGTAGGCTAATAAACATGCTAGTTTAAAATATGTACCCTTTCTCCGTCTCTGTACTTCTCTTCATCGCCGTCACATAAACCGATGGCTTGTTTGTTAGTTTCTATCTTCTCTCTCTCTCTCTCTGTCGCCTGTGTTTGCTGCGTCAATCATTATGCATGTGAGTGTATTCACTTGCATACATTGAAAGGGAAGCAAGAGCAGCTGACACGGTTTATAATTTTGTATTATCCAGATATTAATATTGTGACTATCAAAACAAAGATAATAAATCAACGTACGATGCTTGCCTTACTGTGTTTCCACAAACAGGCTGCTCCTTTTGGGAAGATGTTTATGATATTTGAATACTTTGGAAGTCAAATACTTTACACCTGTGCAAACCAGGTCTGTGCTTCCTCCGGTCAAATGAATAATTGACTATTATTGCACCCAAATGAATGACGCCGGTGTAGTTAAATAGTTTTTTAGTGTAAAGGACGGTGAATGAGTTTGTTAACGATCACACTGGTACATTCTGTGTTTCCTGTTTTTTGAGTTTCAAACAAACATTTCTGCTGCTGATACAGAAAGTGAAAGTATCTACCTGTCTAGGTGCCAGTCAGATGGGGTGATTGAACAATATTGACAGACTGAATGAAGTCAAAGATATGAATCTGTCATCGAGTCCAATTGTGAAGCAGTTCACCAAAAAGTTTCATTTCAGCAAACACAAATAAGAAAAGTAGGGAAAATGTAGAACATATAATCTAAAAATGACATAAATTAAAATAATCTGAACCCATAGGTTTGTTCAAGAAAAAGCCTAAACACAAACGTTTGATTTGATTTAATTTAACCACAAATCCCCGTCGAGTTTAAGACATCTCATTAACAAGAGGAACCTGTCCAAGGTAGCAGCCACACTAAACAAACGCAGCATGGGAAATTCCCAACAATACAAAAGGAACAGGCATTCAGGCAACCTGTGGGAAAAACTACTTCATGTCACAACCTGTCGCATCATTCTTTATGACACTCTTACATTTGCTCAGCGATATCAGTGAGTCGAATTTGAGCTCTTTCTGAAGACTATTTTAAGACTCATAAATGGTACTGAAATAAAGAGTGTACAGAGGGTATCCCTTTGCAAATAAAAAATATATAAATAGTGCTGTGCTCTGTGAATTGTTAATGATGTCCAACCCAAGAGTAGACTATCTAAAGAAACATCTCTGGTCCTGGAAAAAAGCATTAATAAAGTATTTTGCTATTAAGAACAAGTTTGAGCCAAATGAGAGCGTTCTGAAGGATATGAAAAGAAAGTTTCTCAACAGTGAGCTGTACAGAATCAGCTAAGCATTACATAATAGTGTCATCTGCGTACAGATGGACATTACAGTCAGTTATATGGGACAATATTATTAAAATAGATTGTAAACAAGACAGGTCCCAGAACTGACCCCTGTGGAACACCTTTTGTTAATGGTAGAAACTCTGATTGGGTATTTCCAGCCTTTACAGATTGAAATCTATTTGAAAGGTATCTCTGTAACCATTTACAAGTTTTGGAGTAAAACCCAATGTTACAGAGCGTCCCGATGAGAAGACCCTGATCCACCATATCAAACGCTTTAGACAGTCAATAGAAACAGCAGCGCAATGCCTCTTGTTGTCCATATTAGAAACAATATTGTTAACAACTAAAGTGACAGCAGAGGTGGTACTGTGCAATGGTCTGAAATCAGGTTGATGAGGGCTGAGGATATAATAACTAGACAGAAATGTTTTGAGTTGGTATTTTACCAGTGATTCCAGGATTTTGAGTACAGCGTGTAGCTGTGCACATACTCCCAATATTGTTCAATCCCTTCTTTGCTGTGTTGTAAAGAAACACCACAGGAGGCTGTTGTTTTATCTGTAAACAAAACTGCCCCTCCTGTCCCTGCTGACTCTCACTGTTAAAACCAGAAACACACCTAAGCCATCGTTTCACACTCAAACTCACACTCTGTAGTAGAGCAAAGGACAGGCATTTCCGTTTTTTTACTTATTTTCTGACCTTCCTTCCTCATAGTTGGAGTTTATTTTTCATGTGTGGATGAGATGTCACACATGATGGATAAATCTGCTGAAAATTCAGACGAGGACAGAGTGTCCCTCAAGAGCAATGTGAAGACCCCCAGCGAGGGGGCCGTGAAGGAGACGATGGGTATGCTGCAGACATTCAGGAAGAGCATCCGGCGAGCGGCTGAGAAGAGCCCGATGTTGTCTGGAGGCAAGGGGTCAAAGTCCACGCCAAGATCAGACGCGGCTGATAATGAGTCATCGTCCCCACCGCCTCCATCCCCCAGTAAGTACTTTCATGGCTTAATGTCTTAAGTCTTCTTTAAGATGAATACTTCAGGCAGGTCTCTCAAGGTATCTCAAGGCTCTCAAGTAGCATCAGATGATGCAGCCGCCACAACGTCATCTTTTGATATTGTAGTATTGATTGAGAGCCCCCTGGTGGTGGAATCTACATATTGTATCTTTAATGTCAAGACAGTACACATGAAGTTAATAAAAAAACTGGAGTGATTATTTTCTCAGCCTGGGGGTGAAACTTCAAACTCACTGAATCCAAAATATATCAAATATATCAAAGCTAATATGAAACACAAAATCTTCTTTAAAGACTCTTTCTGAACCTGCTGCACTGTCTTGACCTTTTGAAATAAGTGATGGCCTACATTTCCCAGGATTCCCCTCACCACCCACTATGTATGAACTTGTTCCACTCAGGTGTGGGTGTGTGTGTGTGTGTGTGTGTGTGTGTGTGTGTGTGTGTGTGTGTGTGTGTGTGTGTGTGGGCAGAAAGAGAAACAGTGTGGGAATATTTTTCATGGAGAGAAAGAGAGATGTTTCTTCTAGTCGATGCTTAAATACAAACAGTTATTAAACTTTACTTAAATGTGTTTTGAGGACATGGTCACACAAATGTTTCTGTGTTTCCTCAACAAAAGATTGGATTATGATGTTTGTGTATCTACAGTGCAGAAAAGCAATAAGGTTCGACTTTTAGACAATTACACGATAAAAAAATGTAAATATTGGCAGTTGATTTGCTTAATTTGATGGACTGTATAAAAATGGACACAGTCTTAGTGATGTCACCATTGGTTACTGAATGGGAGTTTGGAAGCCTGACGATGGCAGTAGCCATAAAGAAATTGCTGTCTCAACCTAACATTCACTCAACCTAGAAAGGCAAAGAGGTAGAGCTGAGGTGGGCCCCTAGCCTGACTAACAGCTACAACGCACCCGTTTGCAGTCAGATCATGCCCCTTAAAATGCAAAAAATAAAAACAGTTATACAAAACTTCACCCTCATACAGTGCGTGCTGTTAAAAACATGAGTTATCCAGACCAAGATTGTGTTCTGCTCCAGACGATAAACACTTTAATTTCTGCTGTCAAAGTGGCCGTTTTAATATGGGTGTTAATGGGACTTTAGGGGCTTTCGCAGCCAGCCTCAAGTGGACACTCAAGGAACTGCAGTTTTTTGCACTTCAGCGTTTCCTTCACTTATCAACGCCGGAGGTTTCAGCTTGAGTTTTACATAAACAGTGTGACTAATTTATCCCGCTGTAGACATTCTTAATCGTGCTGGCTGGTCATGCTTAAAATGTAACACTTGAAAGGGGTCACATAGTCTTACCAGAAGTTTGGTTAATGAGTGGTTATGCTTGGACTTCATAAAGAAAATTAAATGGTAGACTACAAAAGTTGCCAATAAATATCTGAATATATTTTAAACGCTGTGTGGTAGCCTCCTGACCCACTCTTCTATCTTCTACCTTTCTCTTGAAATGGATATGTAAAGTTTTGCTTTCTTTGTAGAACGAAGTATGAAGTGCTTACGTTTCAAAAGAAGTCCTGTCGATTCATGGGAATCATTACCTCAGTCAGCAGAAACAAGGACATGCTACTTTTAAACTTTCATTTTCACAGTCTGGAGCCGAGCCAAACGTGTCAGATTTCCTCAACACTTTAGTTATTGCATTCTTTAGTTTAAGGTCGCTGAAAGGACTAAGCGCTGCCAAGTCACACTCACACATATGAAGCCACTCAACTGTAATCATGACTATTGAGAAAACTGAAACCTTATCAACCGGTTGTGGCAGTGAGATTGGTTTGGGACAAAGAGGGGTGCGATTGTGAAACAAGGACTTCGTGGAAATGGTACGTGCTGTAATCTCACTCTCTCTGCGTCTCCTTCAGGTCTGAGCGCCGGCTCTCCTATGACCTCTCCTATGACCTCTCCTATGACCTCTCCTATGACCTCTCCTATACAAAGCATCGGAGGCTTATTTCAGAAAAAAGACGAGGAGGAGGTCGACACCGAACAGAAAAGCAAAGGTCTGACACGCTCCAAAACAGGTAAAGCAATCGCATTAATACTGTACCTAAATGACTTAATAATAAGTCTCCTGAATGCTTATATTTGTGTTCTTCTCCACTCCACTCAGTTGACATGGGTCTTTGGCTTCTCACAACATCTCTGCTTGTTAACAAATAACATAAACCAGCTCTCTCAAAACGCTCCGTTTTGGTGTGTGTGTCGCTTTAAATGCAATGAGCACGCCCTGAGTTTTCCCGGTAGAAATCACTCCTTCGCTAGCAACAATAAAAAAGGCGGACCTGCGAAAAATGTTTCGCTCTAGGCTGGGAGTGGAGTCTATGGGGGGAGATACCAGGGGAGGGGAGGGGATTTTTTTTTTTACCAGAATCCCACTGTGACATCACAAGGAGAGCACATTTGAAACGGAGCATTTTTCTCTGTGTTGTAAGACTTATGCAGACCACAAACAAAGGACTGGATGGATTTATCTCACATTTTGTGGGTCGGTGGCTCTAACATAAACTGTTTTTTTTTCCATCCTCAGATCCCAACGGAGTCAGGTTGGGTGGCTCTCTCATGAAAAAAGGAGCTTCGCTACGTAGAAGTCTGAAATTCAACACCAAGAAGGACAAAGATAAAACCAACAGAAAGGAGCAGCTCGACCATGTCTCTGAATTCTCGGGGGAGGAGAAGAAGGAGGAAAAAGAGGAGGAGGAGGAATGTGGGGAGATGGATGAGACCTACACACTGCCAGAACTGCCCCACACACCACTGTCAGGTGCAGTCTCAATCACCTATAAATGACACATCCAGCAGATACTTAGCAAACCTATCACCAACATTAAGTCTTCTTTCAGCTCAGACTTTAATTTATCTAAAGCAATTTATCTTAAGCTGCTGAAATCACTCTCACTTAATCTATTTTACAATTTAAAAAAATGCACAATGCAAAGGTTGCAACTCAATTTTGCACGCAAGGTCATGACTGAAGGATTAGTTTATCCCCTGCAGACAGTTTGTGATGTTGACATATATTCTGAAAGTGTAAAGTTGGGTAGTTTATGTCTAGATTTATGCAGCAATGAAATACACAAGATACATTTGCCCTAATGGATAAGCACTCAGTGAAGACACCCCTTGCTCCAGTCATGCCCATGATATTTCTCAGCAGGTTTAACACTGTAAGCTAAATCAGCATTACTTGCCTTTTTCACACATTTTCACTGATGGAAACTTGAAGCTTTGAACATTTTTCTTTACGATTTCACCGTCAGATGAAGCCTTGACTGACCCATAGGTATATCCCGATTAGGTTTTTTTTAATTGCTTATTTGCATTTGTTGTAAAATGTTATTAAGCATGTTAATACATATGTTTATTCAGTTTATATTAAAATGTGTTTACCACCCTTGTGGAGACACTTGTAGCTGTGAGATATGAGTGTAACCTTTTCTCAATATGTTCCTAAACAAGTTCCACTTTTCTCTCTCTGTCTGCACATTCACCTTTCCTCTTTATCTTGCTTTGTTTTGGCAACAGAAGCAGACAAAGTTAGCGATCGTGTAAATACACAGCTGTTCAGTTTGTCTGTAGAAACAGACACCAAAGTCCAGCTGTGGTTAAAGTGTTTTATTGACATGCACCAGAGATTTCTTCCAATTTTAAGACATCTATTTGATGGCCTTTTTTCACTCTGATTCATTTAAATTGTGTCTGTTTATGAATTTAGTGAGAGTAAAAGTGCAATTCTATGCTTCTTGAGTCTTTCCTTTTTTCTCTGAATGTGTGTTGAAATGTTTTCTAGCAAATTCAAAACCTCTCTGTTTCTCTCAGTGATGCAGATCAATAATCTGATCGAGATGGAGGTGCTGGAGGAGGCTCACCTGAACCTGCTCGCTCTGCGGCGGGAGTTCCAGCAGGAGCAGGAACGCTGTGGCGAGGACTCCCCCATGGAGCTGGCCAAGAAGGAGAAGGACCTGAACCTTCTCTACGGACACTTGAGGAACAAGGTGAACACCATCGCGCGTGACTCCAACTCCTTTCCCTCCAGAAACAAGGGGCTGCTGGTTCCCGTGGCCCGCATCATCCAGGAGGAGGAGCAGAGAGCGGACCAACCGGGCGGGCTAACTGACAGCTGGATGGAAGCCTGGAGGGAGGCGGTGTGCGAGGGCGTGCAGCTGAAGGTGGAGGGCGTTCACCTGGAGCAGAGGGAGAAGAACGTCTCCTGGTTGGCGGTTCACCTGGGTCTGCTGGGGAAGGCCATCGTGGAGGACTTGGAGATCGTGAGGAAACAGCTGCGGTGGTCGTACCCGCCCAGCTTCAAGGTGTTCAGCACCTACGTGAAGAGTTACCACCGAGTCGTTGGGCAGCACTTGAAGAAGCTGGAGCCACAGGTCACGGAGCTGAAGGATCTGTACGCTCTGCTGGACTGGATCATCAACCGCTACAAAAGGTCAGAGAAGAGAAAAGTTAAATCTAATGAGCATGATTACTGAGAACAAGGCTGTTAGGATCATATTACAATTACATTTTTATTACAAAGACCAAAATAAAGAAATATCTTTCCCACTTCTTGTATTTTTACGTGTATCCAAAACCTATTAAAACACATCAATGAGTCTCACACTGGCGCACTGCGACATGTTCCTTCATCACTGAGAGCACACGCTTCAGCATATTTTAATTTAAACCCTTAAACACAGAACTAAGTACATACAAAAAGGACTTCCTGTAAGGAACTGAAGGCCAGATTATTCACTACCAGTGTTTTACACACTGATCCAGATGCTGCCACCTTGGCCCTTTTCTGACTCATCAACCATGATTGGACCCCTACTTTGTTTGAAAACAAATGCCTAGTCCTCCTTACCATTACCCACGAGTTAAACTAAATAATGAGACCTTAGTGTAAGGAAACACAGAGAAGAAGTGGCCTGATTGTCATGCAGGCTGTAATCACAGTGATGTTGTGTACTGTCTGCATAATCGATCACATTCAAGCACCCACAGCAGTTTGCTCAACCTTACAGAATGTGTGCAAACATTTCTGCCTCCGTTCAGTTATTATAAAATATATGATATGATTGAAATGAAGCAAGAGGGCGATTATACGCAGAGAAGTCCTCGACCAGATGTTCTGGCCACATGTCTCGGACTGATGGTCATTCAACAATGTTCACAGTCTCCACATAAAGTCGAGATATGTTCACAGATGGTGCAGACAGAGAGGCATTTCTGACAGTATCTGTTGAATCAGGCCACACCAAACACAAAACCTGTGCTCTAAAACAACATTTTGGGAGACCAAAAATAAACAGCTAATCTGATAAGAAGGAGAAGAAAAAAAAGAGGCTCAATATTCTCTCGAGGCCAAAACGGAAAAATTCAAATCAGGTCGTGTCCGCATTTCTCACAGATTAGTAAAGTAGCATCCAAAAAGACTTCTTCACAGCACACATACACTGTATCAGACTACCTTACAAACACACAAGATAAAACCATCCTCTTGAATTTAGAGGATTGTTTCTAATTAAAAGAACAAGAAATGGTGCACATTCTGATTCTCTTCGTATACTTTTGGAAAATGATTTCCCAAATACCCTCATGAAGTCACAAAGATCCTGTGTTGCTTGCAGAGTTTGTTGTATGGTTTTAATCTTTCGCCCCGACATGAAGCAACTCGTCTTCAGCGTTCTTTCGTGCCAACAGATCCAATAACCTGAAATGTTAGTTGACGTTTCTTATCTCACCCATCACAGCGAGAGGATCATGGGAAGTCCCTCTCTGCAGCCAGACCTAAAGGATGCGAGCGCTGATCTGCAGCTGGAGGACGACTTCCTGAAGCAGCTGAAGGAGAAGTACTGCTGCAGAGTGAAGGTGAGGCCCCGAGGTCCACTGAACTCTGTCTGGGGAAAATGAAAAGATATTTTTAGAATTTGAGGGTTTATAACAAACATATTTATAGTTAAAGACTGATTCCATTTATGTATGGACCAGTCCAAATAGGCCTTATTTTCCACAGTATTTATATTTTTTGCTTGGTGTTGCCCTCTAGTGGCCATAATGGGAATAACAAGAGGGCAAAAACAAACAACTATTGTTTAATGCTTATTCAAGCGTTACATTTTTTGTTGCTGAAGTTTGCTCAAGTTTGCCCAAACTGTGTTTTTGAATACAGGAGGACCTGAGGTCAGCACTGGACAATATCATTAAACTTGAGAACAAGGAGGTTTGGAGCGAACAAAAAGCTCCAGAAAGGGAGGATAACGTCCTGATTTCTGACATTGACATGGACATCCAGACGGTACGACACTTAACTATCTGTATGCGATACGATGTGCTGCCATACAACATGATGCGATATGATACAAGTTCAGCTGCCTCATCAGTAGAATCAATAAATGAAAACAACAGAAACAAACTTAATCCAGAGAAGCACACACCACTCTAAATAACAATAACAACACATGCTGCACATTACCTACTAGCTCTGCATGAAACACAACGCAAGAGAAAAGATAAAACACTTTACATTTTTATGTTAAAACTGCTTTTTTATTTTAGATTTTTATGAGACTGTCATCTGTATTTTTTTCCCCTCACTAACTTTGATGCATTTTAGCATTTTGACCACATGGGGGCAGCAGAGAGCCTGATATACACTGGACTGATTCCATGCTGTTGTCTCTTCTGTCTTACAGATAGTGAAAGGAAACATGAAGAGCTCTGGACAGATCGATGCTCAGCTGGAACAGAGAGTGATCTCCTCCTGCCTCGAAGAGTTAAAACAGTTTCCTAAAAGGTTTGTGAACACAGAGACAAGATTTCGACCTCCAAGAAGTGGTCCAAGACCGATTTGGAGCACTACAACACTATCTGAAATATACTTATCAGGCAAAGTCAAGTACAACATATCAGGGAGCAAGGGTATTATTATAACTATACTATATACTATATCAAGACCAAAGTGTTTAACAGCCTGCAGTAACCACTTAAAATAAAGGAGAAAATAGATATTTCTAAATGAATGACTTCTTGAGTATTTGAAAATCATGACCCATCGATATCTTTTATTCGCCAAATAAAACACTGGATTAGTAAGTACCTATCCAAGGTTACCTACATTTTCTCTTCTTAGAAAGCTCTGTTTTCTTATTAACAGATCAATCATGTTGTTTCATTAATGTAAGGTAAATAACAGTTTGGTTTTTTAGCTGTGATGGTTTTTATCTTCTGATGATTCTGTTTAGTGAGAAGGTCACTTCTCCAGGGCAGAGGAATAAGTGAAGAATTCTGTAAAGTCATGCAAAAAAACAGATTTCTTTTAAAAGCATCAGTTTAGAAGTAAAAAGGGGAAGGGTGGAGGTGTGAGGGGGAACCCTCACGCATAGAAAAATCCACCAAACCTCCCAAAAACAGGATCCTGTCCTCTGTGCCACGAGCACAGAGTTGCATGATTCTCCTCTTGAGTAATATAAGAATATTTCATTTGCCTGATGTATGGCTAACACTGTTTATCCTGCAGTTGAACGCTCCTGAGGATCATGTGTGCATCCTCCTCCTCTTCTTCTTCTCCTTCTTCAAATGTTTTTAATCTCATACAGTGACTTGATAATCTCTGCAGCAGCAAATGTAGCAGCTAAAGGAAACTAATTTTAACATTGCTGAAAAGATAAACAAAATAAAAAACACTAGAACCTACAATTTGAATAAGAAATATTTGAAAAAAACTCAAGGTTCAAGGTTAAATTATTGGTAGAAAGGCACATTTGTTCTGCAGACAGGAGACCAAAACTTTCCTCTGCTCTCACTTTAATACAATCTTCACAACATGTTTGGATTTTCTCAACCCATCAAGGCCTGTAGTGTTTCTGAAAGCGACTCAACAAGTCACTCAACATGTTTGTGGAATGTCATTTATGGTTTGGTGTCATGCTCTTTAGTCGTTCTGAAAGTCGTCTCTCTTCCTCTAACAGTCGTCTCCTGTCTTCTCTGCAGATTCGAGACAGAGTTCAGACGGCACTGCGGCGCTCTCAGACCACAGACTCTTTGGACCGAGTATCATATAACATACATCAACAGCTTCACAGCTCTACAGTAAGTCATGTGACTTCCCTGAAATACTCGCAGTAAACTAATGTGCCGTGCCCAAACGCCTGCCTGCCTCTTGAAGAAGAAAAACTGTCACCAGATTCACTCAGTGGGAGTCCATCTAAAAAAGCTTTTTATTATGCTTAGCTAACCAGAAATATAGAAACAAAATATTCCCTGGTTTCAAGATGAAAGCTGCAAAATTGCAAAATTTAGATTAAAAAAAATAAAAAAATAAAAAATCTCTGCTGTTTTTGTTGCATGTTTACATGCAAAGGTAGCCTTTCCTGATAATACAGGAAAACAGTGTCACTCTGTGAATGTATGCTGTGGAAACTGTAGAAAAAAAAAAGAAAAAGTGTTTCTGCAGCAGGTTCATCTTCGTTTGACTCCGACCTCGTTGCAGAGATTTCAGGCATTAAGAAGTGACTTCATACAAACAGCCAATCTTTATGCTGATGATCTGTTTTGCTTTTGTAGTTCCACTAGATGCATCAATATTCATTTCAGTCTGTTTCCTAAACAACAAATGTCAAGACAGTCTTTTCACGGATGAAGGGGAAAAGAGAGATTTGTGAACGGATGTTGAGATAATTAGAACGCCATGCAGAGCTTTTATTTGGGTGACTTCATCTTGAAGTTATTTTGGACTTTACTGGGGGATTTTCCATCACTCATGCCAATGTGCGAGCTGCAGAGCTACATTCCCTCTCACACTCTGGGAGTAGTTTAGGAGACTGTTTCTTTAATATGCACAGCACGGCAGAGGCGGATAACAGACCCACTTTAGATGCGGTCATGCCACTGGGAGAGACATTAGAACCGTGCCAGCCTCAGAGAGATTCAGCCCACGTGATTTCAGTGAACTGGGCCTGCGAGTGAGAAACGCTGTCGTGTTGTACGTTAGGGGAAAGAGAAAGTAAGTCGGCTGAAGCTCCAAAAACCCCTCCAGCTGTGTCTGTCTGTCACAACGAAAGAACCCAGCTGTGGGTTGGGACGTGGTTGTTCAAGGACTTTTATATGAGATGTGCAGGGCGTGAGTGCTTCTGGCTGCAGAGTTGAAGTCTGCTTTTGATTCTTTGCTGCGTAGAAGTTTAAGGAGCACTTTAGATGCACTTGCATCAAACATCTCACTCTTTTGGTTTTTAGTCCTTTTGTCCAAAATACAAAGAAAAACACAAATTGTTTCAGGGCATTGTGTGTGAAACTAAGTAGAAAACCACAAAATGATGCATGAAATGTTGAAACTGTTGCTTCATGAGTTTGTGGTTCAAATTCAGTTGCATGTCATTGGCCTTGCTAAGGTCTAATATGTGAATGTTACACTGCAGTATTCTAGATTTAGATCTGTCTCAGGGGGTTTGTTGCACCTCCTTCCACTATTTCCTGTCATCTCTCTCAACTGCCTTTATTCGATACAGAACTACATCCTGAGGGGTTTTGATTGCAGGGGGTTTTGTGCAAAGTAGAAAAGGTTGCTTAAATTCATTTTAATACACAAATATCCCAAATCTGCAAAATATAGATAATGCAAAAGTCCTAAAAAGCTTCACAATGAGGGTCATACGTTTCTCAGAAGTGAAGCTGCTTCTTAAGTAGTTAAAAAAGAATTAAGAAAACACATCCCAATAGCAAAACAGTGGAGTAGGTTAAATGTAAATCACTTCCAAATCGACATATACTGTGTGATGTTGGAGAGTATCAGTGACAGGCGTACCGGACAAACACAGGCAATAAGTTGTCAACTTTTCATAACAGAGGCTTACCGTCCTGGGTCATTGATAAGAACTGGACAGCACTTAGGAATGGGCGTTTACACTTTGCATTAACAATGGTGAGTCCTTGAGATCAGAGTTTGCTTGCCTGTCTCTTGCGCAAATGAGTGCCTTCCCGTTTGAATAGACTGAATACATCATCATCACATCAAACCAACGTGCCAGACCACCTCTGGATGTGGTCTAAGCTGCGAGGTCTCAATCTGTCTGCAGCGTTAACATCTAGCATCAAGGCGTACCACTTGTTACCAACCCAGGACACAGGTGTTAATGCAATGTGTGAGCAGCCGCACTGTCACAGTTTGGTTAAGTTACGGCGAAAAGAACAGACTTTTGGTTAAGTGATAATCTTTACATGAGGGCTCCACTTTCAGTGAATAAAAATACATCCAGTTAAAAAAAAATATGGCCCCTTTCACTCATACACTGGACTTCAGGAAATATTCCGACACTGACTGGATGGGGCTGAATGCAGGGAACGTAAACTATAACAAATCTGTTCACTCAGACTTTCAGCAGACTTTTTCCTGCCAGCCCGGAGCAGAGCAGAGTTTTGCTTCTTACACTCTTTATGTCTCATCTCAGCTGGCTGTATTATGTTCTCTTCACCCATTGTTTGTATTGAGACATGATCTTATACATGTTGTCGTGAAATTAAACAAGAAACATTCACCATCACTGAAGAGTCCCTCTCTTCTTCTGACATGCTCTACCAAACTGCCCCTCCTCAGGAACCAAACATGTTGTGAGGATGCATCTCACAAGAACCATCTCCAGCTGTGAGCTTCATGTTTGAAAGACCCTGAATGGGAGTTTGTTCAGAAAATGTAGAAGGAGTTCATGTGTTTAAGGGGCTTAAAATAGAACTGTAAGAGGAAACCTGGCTTCAAATGTGGAAAAATCAGTCAAGCTCTTGAGATCCGGTGGAAAAATCTGATTTTACTTTCATTTCTAAAAATCTGAGTCCAAATTATAAGGTTCACCATCGCTATGACATTCCTGCTGGAGGGACTGGAGCTGTTTTCGCAGACAGTTTGTTTGTTTTTACTTGCCCATAATTTAAAGCCTCTCTGGAAAAGAGTGGACCTCCTAGTCTCAGAGACTCAACCTAAAATCTGTTTTTTTATTTAACATTTTATTTTTAACGAGAAAGTATTCTCAAAGGTTTCAGGAAAAGCGATGCATAGCTTCTAGAAAGTAAAAAAAAAAAAAGTCAGAGGACTGTCTGTTTTTTGTGAAATAAACATACAAGTTATGCTTACAGGTCCAGTGTGTTGGATTGAGAGATCTACTGGCAGAGTTATATAAAGTTGTTTTTTCTTTGTATAAAAAGCTTTATCAAAGTGAAATTTCACCTTTTAACCTCAGTCAGTAGGTGATGTTTTTCCACTTCCTCCTTTTCTTCCTTCTGCAGGGAACACATGGAGGGGCACCAGGCCGCCTGTCCGCAGGAGGTGGAAGGATTCAGAAAAGAAGTGAAGTGGCTGATTGTGAGGCTCACACAGGACCTGGAGGACCAGTTCAAAGAGGATGTCAAGGTACAAAAAGAGTCACACTAAATCAAATCAAGGTTATTTTAGTTGGAAGCAAAAATCCTGTCTTCATAGAGTTATATCCTCACATGGAGAGAAAGGCAGTTTTCTTATGTGTTTTCTAAAGAGGAATTGAAAAGGGGATGCTAGGTAAATTCTCATCACGCACACACAAAGCTTTCCAGGAAATTTACTGTTTCACATCACAAGTGAGCAAAAAGAAAAGTAAAGAGGAGTAAAATGGTGATCATAGCCAACTTTCAAACACGCGCTACACTTCTGAATATGTCCTGAAATCGTTCTAGTGAGCTTCATGTATGAACCCAAACCCAGTAAAATGTCTGCACGCAGTCAGAGTGAGCCGATGTGTGGAAGCAGGTGATAATCGAGGGGAAACCAACAACTGGGTGGGCGGGATGAAAACATTTTTAATTATGCAATGGTTGGGAAACCAGAGGAATCTGGGTGCTCTTGACGAAGCAGTTTGATTCACTTTTCTGCTTGCCAGGATTCTCTTCTCTTTTGTTTACACTGTGAAGGCCAAAAAGTGTCATCATAGCATTGGACTCTGTCGCTTCACACACCCTCTTGGTTATGTGAGTTCCACAGTGTTCTTTTTTACATAATGCCTTCTGAGACCACCCTACTCCCATTCCTATCAGACAGAGAAAATCTGCCACTTTGAGGGACATGTGTGAAAGAGGACCTCTGGAATAATTCAGGTGCAGACTGTCCTGGGATTTTCTAGAAATTGGTAGGAGGGCAGGCTAGACGTTGCTGACGTTAAGTTTGGAGGATTTGGATGCACTTACTGTATGAGTCACTTTAGTCTGTGGGAGGAATACGATACCTTATAGTGATTCACTGTTGCTCGTAACTCTTACAAAACTCTTTAAGTGTTTCAGTGTGAGCTGCATGTGTGAATACAAAGTTAAGTCCCCCCCATCCCCGTCCCCTTTCCCATCCAACAGGGATACTCTTCCGCTGTGAATTGCATATTTGAACAACCAGACCAGGAGGATTTCAGAAGCAACACTCCTGAAATTCTTTAGAAATTTTCAGGAGAGCAAATGCGAAAATTACTTTGAAGAGCCGACAGATTGATGATCTTCCTGAAACTTCCTGAGACAGGAAAAGTAAAAAGGAGTCTACATTTTTTTCCCCCAGCACTGTCTGAGGAAAATGATGACCAGGAAGTGGCTCACCAATGATGACGACTTTAAGCAGCTTTATGAACAGACGGAGCAGCTCTCTCATCACTGCACTCTCATGAGGCCTCCACACGCTCAGGTAAGGAAGAGGAGGAGGAGGAGGAGGAGGAGGAGGAGGAGCAGGAGGAGGAGGAGGAGGAGGAGGAGCAGGAGGAGGAGAAGGAGGAGGAAGAGGAGGGCTGAAAAATACATGGTGGGAATTTCAAGTGTGTCAGCCAAATCCTTTCACTTACAGGAAAGATCACGACCTCTTACTGAGGAATAAAAACGTCACAAACAGTTGGATATGAGCCGCTAAAGTTCCCACCTGGGGCCAAAGATTTAAAATCTCCTTATCGGAGAAATCATTCGTACTGTAACAAGAAAGGCAACCTTTGAACAGATCAGCTTAAAAAAGAACACTTAGGTCAGGCAGCAAGTGATTAATTGAGGGAAAAGACTCAAAATATCAAGCTAACACATTTATTTTAGTGATAAGGTTTTCACAATGACTTCTAATTGCTTTGTAGGACATCATAGGAAATCCATATTTTCTTTTTCATTGACCCTTCTTGGAAGTTCCAGTGACTCAGTATTAGCTCCATTGTTTGTGACCGGACGCTGCGACTGCAGATTGCACTAGAAGCGACGGGGGATAAATCCTGGCAGCATGGGGGAGAAGAATAGGCGGAAGTGAAGGTGTTAGCTCAGATGACCTGATGGCTGCTGGCCCCGTGATGGATAAATAAAGACAAAGACACCCTGACATTTCCCCTTTTTCTGAGCCCATCCTGTTGTTCAGCAGCCTCACTCCCTCTATGTGTGTGTGTGTGTGTGTGTTTTTGTTTTTTTGTGTTTCGTGGCAACAGGAGTTCGCGAGTCGATTGCACTACCACGTGGTGAGGGAATACGCCGGCTGCCTGATGAAGAACAATTACTCGTGCAAGAACCGCAAACACGAGAAGGCAGCGACGAAGATCCGAGAGCAGTGGAGGAAACTTAGAGATCTTTTTGCGGAAATGGTAACAAAGCACCCCCTCCCCCAACCCCCCCTTTAATATGAACTGCATCCTTTCTACATCAAAATCTAAACCCTTCAGTTATTTAAACATGTTTAATAAAAGTGGGAGAAATCGTGTACATTAACTAAACTTACTACTTTACAACCTCACTAAATTTAAGTACAATTAAATTTTTCCTCAATTACTTCAACATCATGTAACATTTACATATTAGACCTTAGCAAGGCCAATGACATGCAACTAAATTTGAACCACAAACTCATGAAGCAACAGTTTCAACATTTCATGCATCATTTTTGTGGTTTTCTACTTAGTTTCACACACAATGCCCTGAAACAATTTGTGTTTTTCTTTGTATTTTGGACAAAAGTGACGAAATGATGTGTTTTTGGCTCGTGAGCTCTTAAAAGATTGTTGCTGTTTGGCACGTGCCAGATGTCTTCGAGTTGCTTGTAGTTCCCCAGACCTCTTTATTTCCCTTTTTCACACACAATGCCCTGAAACAATTTGTGTTTTTCTTTGTATTTTGGACAAAAGTGACTAATAATACGAAATGATGTGTTTTTGGCTCGTGAGCTCTTAAAAGATTGTTGCTGTTTGGCACGTGCCAGATGTCTTCGAGTTGCTTGTAGTTCCCCAGACCTCTTTATTTCCCTTTTCAACTTCCCCAATAGTTTTATCCTTTTTAAAATAAAATAAAAGATCCAATATTTTGCAAAGAAATCTTTACCAGACTGTTTCATAGAAGTATTGTTTTTTATCTGTTCATTCCCCGCTCCCACAGAAAGCACCTGTCTGCTGTTCAGCTTGATTGAGGACTGACGCAGCGCTCCTAACCACTGATTCTTAAAAAATATGTTTTTATGTTTTGTGTGTTTCAGGAGTCGACTCACGAATGGCTCCACCATGTTGGAGAGGACCTGAGTGACATCATCATACAGAAAAACAAGACAGACATTAAGAACCACCTGCAGCCTTTAGTGGAACACTACCCAGACTTCAGGTGAGCATTACAAATGTGCACACGTTTATGGTTTTGCATGAGGAAAAACCATCAAGATAAAAGCCTTGAACTACGGATTCTTAAAATGTAAAAGTTTGAAATTTAAATGTTTCATATAAGATTATTTTCACACAGTTTAGGGAGTCCACTCCGGTTATGTTACCTCCATTAGAGTGTTTTTGAGAAACTCTGAATAGCCTTTTCAACAGTTTCCTGCTCTGAAGGAAACATCGCAACTCTTCATCATGGACAGCAAGACCAAACTCTTCAGAAACACATTTCTCAAGTCAACAACTACAGAAATGATCTCTGAAAGTATAGTCTTGGTTTGTTCTGGATGTTTCTCAGAGTCTTATGTCTGGAGACGAGAACTTTTACTGACGGTCGACTCCTGACACTCACTAACACACTCCTCCTACAATCAGTGACAAATTCACATTATCTTTTAAATATGCATTTCTTGTTCACAGTAGAAGTGTCTTTGTGGAGCTCATTATCTGTTTTTTCAAAGTTTTACTGCAAATTAAAAACCCCATTAAAAAAAGAGATTTACATCAACAAAACAACATTATTGAAGGATATAAAGTAAAACTGCAGAGTGATTTTAGTCACTGATTGTAGGAGGAGTCTCAGTGAGTGTAGGAGGAGTCTCAGTGAGTGTCAGGAGTCGACCATCAGTGAAAGTTCTCGTCTCCAGACATAAGACTCTGAGAAACATCCAGAACAAACCAAGACTATACTTTCAGGGATCATTTCTTTAGTTGTTGCCTTGAGAAATGTGTTTTGGAAGAGCTCGGTCTCGCTGTCCGATGAAGAGTTCTGATGTTTCTTTCAGAGCAGGATACTGGTGGGAAGACTTTATTTCTTCTCCACTGTTGAAGATTGCTCAGAGTTTCTCAAACACTCTAATGGTGGAAACATTATCTGAGTGGAATTTGTACTTTGTTTACCTTAAACAAATTTTGTTTATATTTTCTACCTCTGATGGGAGTTAAATACATTCCTGTAACTCAAATTCAACAACTTGAACAAAACTAAACAGCTGTTTCAGATTCAGTAAGATTCTCCTCCAACAACAACTTATAATCATTCTGAAGTTTGACCTCAAAACACATATGCTTGTGATGCCTTATTGTATTGGGTTTCAAATTTACAGGAAATCAAAACTGTTTTTTTTCTGTCAGTGTACCAAGGTCAAAATAAGAACTAAAATTATCAGTGATTGTAGAAGAAGTGACTTTGAGAAGCTCAGGAGTTGTCCATCAGTGTTCAGGTAAATATTCAATTTTAGTGATTCTCACTTAAACATGAGGTTTGGTTAAATGTAAAATTCCTACTGCAAACTTAAAAAATAAAATTCATGTGGCAGCAAAGGTCATCAAGTGATCACATTTCTACTTTCAGAAAGACCAAAAACACAATGATTGTTGAACTTAACAACATCAAAGTAATGTTCCAGATTAATTTTACAGTTCATAGGATCCACTCAGATCATGTTTCATCCATTAGAGATTCTTGGAGAAACTCTGAACAATCTTCAAGAGAGATGAAGAAAATAAGTCTTTCAATCAATTTCACAAGTCAACAACTAAACAAATAATCCATAAAAGTATAGTATTGGCTTGTTGTGGGTGTTTCTTAGAGTCTTGTGTCTGGAGACGAGAACTTTCACTGATGGTTGACTCCTGAGACTCACTAACACAAACACACTACTGCTACAATCAGTGAGGAATCGGTGAGTGCATGCATTTACCTCAATATAATGCAAGAAAGTCTGTTTTTGTAAATTTGAGAACCCATGCAATATTGAACATGCATCAGCAAAACAATATTCGTTGCAGTATTTTTGAAATAACTTTAAAGTCAAATTTGTCACTGATCGTAGCAGTAGTGTGTTAGTGAGTGTCAGGAGTCAACCATCAGTCAAAGTTCTCGTCTCCAGACGTAAGTCTCTGAGAAACATCCAGAACAAATCAAGACTATACTTTCAGGGATCATTTCTTTAGTGGTTGACTTGAGAAATGTGTTTGTAACAAGTTTAGTCTCACTGTCCAAGATGAAGAGCTCCGATGTTTCTTTCAGAGCAGGATACTGGTGGGAAGATTTTGTTTCTTCTCCACTGTTGAAGAACGTCAAGAGTTTTTTAAAGACTCTGATGGAGAAAACATGGTCTCAGCGGACTATTTATCTTGTGTTTAAATTAGGAGCCTTTTGTTAAAATGTTAATACTCAAACCTTTCAATCCTCAACTACTTACAACAGCTCACATTACTAGTTGATATGGCCATGTACTCTATTAAAAGATGGATAGATATTTAGTGCTATCTTGAATAACTAGCAGCATTACATGTCTTTGACCCCATTTCCTCCATGTTAACAGATGACTTGGAATTTATTTTCTGGTCAACTACCATATCAAGAAACTTCAGGAGAGACCTTGGGTACAATAAGGCCTAGTGTTGTGATCTTGTGTTGATGAAGATGAATGGTTAATTTAGGATGAAAACAGTAATTATGACACTGGCAGCCCAGAGCCTTCTGAGGCCAACCGAGGTCAGGACAGGGTTTTTTTTCTGTTGACTTATGATCGTTTTCTCATAAACTTGGCTTGCCTGTAAAAGTGAAAAGAAGACATAGAGGTCACAAGTTCTTCTACATGTCTCTGTGATGACATCAGTGGTTTTGTTCAATTAAAGAAGTAAAAAACTACAAACTGACACGGGATTCCAGAAAGAAAAACCCTCTAGTGATAAAACCTAACCAACATCCTGATTTCTAATTTCTATTTGATGCTTTTGTATGTGTTTAAGACGTTTTAAAGATCCCCTCTGTGATCATGAAAGTATGAATTGATGGTGCTTCTGTCCACGGGGAATATCAGTGTATTCTGTCACCTTCTGCACAAATTCACCTGACTGCACTAACCAGGAGAATGAGGAAGTAATGAGGAAAAAACAGCAGGAAACATGAGCAAAGGAAGTAATCATTAATCTAACACAGAGCAGGATGGTTTGGCTGCCTCCAGTGTTGATTTGAAAATCTCGATATTAGTCATGAGAAAAGTCCAGTCTAAACACAGATAAGACACAATCTCTGCAGGGTGGTTCTCAAAGGAAAAGTCCTGTTTTTTAAACTGACGCTGATGACTATGTCTTGTAGTTTTACCTGAACGAACAGAATCATTTACATGGAAAAAGTGTTTTATTAACCAGAGTTCACCAGAGTGCGCATGTGACTTCTGAAATGTTGTCAACAGCTGAGTGATGTCTGACTGCAGACCTGAGAGGGGGAAAAGGCAACCAAACAGACAAAACGAAGAGATTTAATTGTTAAAGTCAAGTCTAAGATTTTCCTTATGTGATTGTGACTTGATATGTGGCAAAACGCAGCAAACTGGCCTTGGTTTTTAAGAAAAAGTAAAGATTTGATGAATAACCCAGATGAACTAAAAGTGCACACTTAAAAGATGTTTTACTTTCTGGTTTTTGGGACAGCAGAAGCTCCGTACAGACATCAGGAAAAGAGTTGTTGGTATATCATGCATAATGTGAGAAATTCACCAAAAAAAAAGGATTGATGGTATTAATTTCAACCAAAACAAAAAGGCTGTAGATCCCTGATCGCAAAAGACTTAAAACATTAAGTCAGTACGCATACAACTTCCTTTTACATGTGTTCTCTTTCTTTGCCTGACTGGACTTCTAGTTGTACAAAAATGGTCCTCTGTCCAAATTCTATGAGACCTACTGACTCCTGAGCATGATGGGATTAGTAAGAGACGTATCTGAGAGAAACTGAAAATCTGAGAATAATATCTTTAATGCAGCTAACTTTCTGCACCGTTATTATTGCTGAAAGAGACCACATTTGTAAATGGCAATGTGATTGGTGAGTTTGGAGTACAAGGTCTATCAATTTTAACAAAATAAACAGTCCACTCAGATCATGTTTCCTCCATCAGAGAGTCTTTCAGAAACTCTGAACAATCTTCAACGGTGGAAACGAAGTCTTCCCACCAGTTTCCTGCTCTGAAGGAAACATCTGAGCTCTTCATCGTGGACAGCGAGACCAAACTCTTTAGAAACACATTTCTCAAATCAACAACTAAAGAAATGATCCCTGAAAGTATAGTCTTGGTTTGTTCTGGATGTTTCTCAGAGTCTTATGTCTGGAGACGAGAACTTTCACTGATGGTCAACTCCTGACCTTAACAAAGACACTCTTCTGTACTGAGCTTTGATATAATAACATAACAATGTTATCAAATAACAATAACAAAAAGTACAAACAACAAGGGATTGAATGGATTTAAGAAAGCTTTTTTTGCTTCTTTGACCACAGCTATAAGAGTGAAGCTGTTACACCACAAACACTGTTGACATTCCTTTAGCTAGTTAATAACTTAAAGTTTAAGCAGATAAAATGATTAGTTAGCTCATAATATCTGTCAGAGAGAAAAGGTTCACTTTTTATTACTGTTTGTTTATATTCAAGTGACGAGACACCTTCCATCTTCTAATTAAGCTGAGGTGTGAACAGCTAGAGAAGCTACAAACACCCGAAGACTGTGATGGATCTGTAAAGACTCTGCACCCTCATCCACCACCCACACAGATGTTTTTACTTAATGTGGCCTGATTAGAGCTCCTCTCAGGCACGTGAGCACTTTTACTGATTGAGAAGTCCCTCTTTCTGCTGGTTTGTTTCACTTGTTAAAGAAAGATAAATTGTCTCATTTTTATAACTGAAATACATGGAGAGACATAGACTAAAGTCTCTCCATGAGCATATAATTCATATGCAACATGCTTTTGTAAGAAGATAAACAGTCCACTCAGATCATGTTTCCTTCTTCAGAGACTTTTTTAGAAACTCTGAACAATCTTCAACAGTGGAGAAGAAACAAAATCTTCCCACCAGTTTTCTGCTCTGAAAGAAACATCTGAACTCTTCATCATGGACAGCGAGACCAAACTCTTTAGAAACACATTTCTCAAGTCAACAACTAAAGAAATGATCCCTGAAAGTATAGTCTTGGTTTGTTCTGGATGTTTCTCAGAGTCTTATGTCTGGAGACGAGAACTTTCCCTGATGGTCGACTCCTGACACTCACTAACACACTCCTCCTACAATCAGTGACTAAAATCACTTCATTGTTTCACCTCAAAATTGTGCAAAAAAAACTGATTGATGATTTTCCACTATATTTGTCACTGAATAAAGTGCTAAATAAGCATAAAACACTCAACTACTCTTTGTGTCTTTCATCTCTACTTGCAGTAAGAAGCACCTGGTGGCTGTCCTGTACTTCAGAGGCCTAACGAGAGGCCGAGAACACCAGCGGATCCTTCAGAGATTCTCACAGCTGAAGAAATCAGGCAGCGGCGCCTGTGACAAGAGCCGACTTTTATTCAGTGACATGGAGTTCACCGTCAACACCAACTGCTTCTCCAATCTGCCCTTCTCCTGCCTCAGCGCCTTTTTTCCCGACAACTAGTGCAACGAGTCGAGAGGATGAACTTTTAAAGCTCAAAACTGTACTAGCTACAGACTGTCTCAGGTGGTTTGACACCTTTTGACACAAACTGAGGTTCTTGCAGCTTCACTTAAATCATCTGCACCTTTAGTACTCAAGCTGCAAAGATTAATCGATTAATCGCTTAGCTTATAAAAAAACAGCTAAATGTTCATTATTTTGATAAGCGATTAGTCATTTCAGTTTCTTTTAATATAAAATGTTACAAGTTACATCTTTTGTAGTGAGGGATCTGCTGCTTTACATGATAGTAAAAAAAAAATATATTTTAAACTTTACTAAAGAAGCAGTTTGAAGATTTCCTTTACGGTTCTGAAAAATGAATTATACGATATTCAAAGACAGAATTATTTTTTTTTTAGTGTCACTAAAAAAAAGTCTGTAAATATTTAAATAATTTAAAAAATCAAAATAATGGCAGCTCTTTTTAACACACAATCAGTGTACCTTTGTGTGTTGTCCCTGATAAAAATAAAAATAACTGCTTATTTCTTTTAAGTTTATTTATGAGACAGTGGATAGAGTCAGAGACAGGGATGACGATGTGGAGCCCATGTGGAAGTGCAAAAACTGCAGTTCCCTGACCCTACACTTAAATCTGGCTGCAAAAAAAATGCTTAATTGATCAATTAAAGTATTAGTATAAGGAGTATTGTGACAAAGCGGTACATATTATTAATTTTCTGATCCTGATCTGTACATATTTGGGTAATGATTTCTGATGACAAATTTCATCTTGCTTTCTTTTACAAGTCAAACGTGTGGGAGCCATATTTAGGGTCTACAAAGTGTGACACACAGTTTGCTCGAGCAGGTGTCACCTTCAGGTTCAGGTCATGCACTTTATAGGTAGTTAACTTTCACTCGGGTGTGAAGTGATGCCAAACGATGAGCTCAAACTACTTTTTGCAACTACACAGTGCTACGACACGCAAGGTAACGCAGAGTTTTATAGGAGTGAAAGTTTGTATGAAAATTTACAGACAATGTTGGAATCTATTGAAGCGATTATTGGATGAGAGATAAATCCTCAACTAAAGAAAGAAGACATTGGACTTTCTTATATTACAAGCTACTCATGAGCGAAGCCAAGGCGAGCGCGTCAATGAATAAATTAGTGTGTCTATGTAGCCCCTCAGTGGCTTTAAATTTAGGCTTAACCACCAATCGAATCATTCACAGTAAATCTCGCCTCGTCTGACACCTACCTGGTGGCAGCAATGACAGTTGTTTTTTACAACTCTACAGAAATATTCAAGCTTGTTCCTGGTGGTGTTGTTCCCTTCTGCAGGTCATAAAGAAACATCATCAGTCATTTCAGTCTGTTTCATAATCAGTCAAAACTTCCTTCAAAAAGCAGTAAAAGCAAAATGTTGTCACCACTCACAGAGCACACTAAACATGACTTATGAAGAGTTTCACATATGAAACTGCTTCCCGTACAGTGAGGACTGATTTCTGGGAAAAGAAAAATGTTTTCACAATCTAATCTGGATTACATTCAAAGTTTGGGGGGGGGGGGGGGGTAATAACAGGATTGTGAAACTTGTTGAAGCTTTCAGCAGATGTAACAAATTAAAAGCTGGATGTCGAGCCACAGCGTTGACTGTGAGGAGGTTTTTCTCAACGGTTTGAGTTTTGAACATCAGATCATCTCATTTAAACTGAATAACCCTGAAACTCTTCGTGCTTAAGACATGAATGTGTCATGTGCTGTTTGTCTATTAAGGAACTGAACCGTGCAGATTGCAAAATGTATCGTGTGTAAGCCTTCCAAACTGCCAACACACTGAAATATGAGTTTATGTTGTGAAATGTGTGTGTGCTTCTGTTGTCTTTCTATTAAATATTTAATTCCATGTGACGTTGTCTGATCACAAAAGCAGAAAACTTTGCTAAACCTCAAGTTGTATGAGATTTTCTTTGCACATTTGAGTGTATTCATGTAAGAGTTTAGTATCTCAGGTCGGTTTAAACATGAATCCTCCTTTCTGTATTAGACTGTTAATGTGTTAAATAAACTAAAGGGGATGCAGAAAGAATAATGTTTTAGCTATTTAATCTTTATTTAATAAAACTTCTGAAGTGAATCAGTTTCATGAAACTCCCTCTTCTCTTTCTGCATGTGAAGTAATGACAACATGATGAACTCTGGTAGAAATCAAGACATCCAGTCAATTGGAAAGAGTTTTGAAATCTTCTTCTGCAAATTGCACGTTCAAGCCTTACTTTTTTATATCTTCTGTATCAAAAAAGCCAATTCTCCACCTGCACAAATTCAGGACAGCAAAATACTAGGTAACAGCAAGTCAGATAACACATTAGATTACTGCAAATAACTATGGAAGCACTTTCTCTAGTCAATAGAGTTTTAATGTTAGTAAAGATTATAGATTCCACTCAGATCATGTTTCCTCCTTTAGAGAGTCTTTCAGAAACTCTGAACAATCTTCAATAATGAAGAAGAAACAAAATCTTCCCACCAGTTTTCTGCTCTGAAGGAAACATCTGAATTCTTCATTGTGGACAGCGAGACCGAACTCTTTCGAAACACATTTCTCAAATCAACAACTAAAGAAATGATCCCTGAAAGTATAGTCTTGGTTTGTTCTGGATGTTTCTCAGAGTCTTATATCTGGATACGAGAACTTTGACTTATGGTCGACTCCTGAGCTTCACCGAGACGTTACTCCTACAATCAGTGACAAATTTGACTTTAAAGTTATTCTAAAATATACTGCAATGAATATTTTGGTGACACATGTTCAACATTGCATGGGCTGTCAAAGTTACAAAAACACATTACAAAAACAGACTTTCTTGCATTACATTGAGGTAAATGCATGCACTTTATTCCTCACTGATTGTAGGATTGTCTTAGTGAGTCTCAGGAGTCAACCATCAGTGAAAGTTCTCGTCTCCAGACATAAGACTCTGAGAAACATCCAGAACAAACCAAGACTATACTTTCAGGGATCATTTCTTTAGTTGTTTACTTGAGAAATGTGTTTCTAAAGAGTATGGTCTCGCTGTCCATGATGAAGAGTTCAGATGTTTCCTTCAGAGCAGGAAACTGGTGGGAAGACTTTGTTTCTTTTCCACTGTTGAAGATTGTCCAGGGATTCTGAAAGACTCCCTGATGGAGGGAACATGATCTGAGTGGATCTTTATGTATGTTTAAAATAATCTTGTCTCTACTCTGATCTTCTGTGATATGAGAAATATAGTAATTTTAAGGCATTGGATCAAAATCAGAGAATATTCTGTGTTTCTCTGACCAGAACTGTAAGAATGAAGCTGTAACACCACAAACACTAGTGACGTTCCTTTAGCTAGTTGAAAACCTAAGATTTAAGCAGATAAAATTATTATTTAGCTCCTAATATCTGTCAGGGAACAGAAGGTTCACATTAAAAACGTAACACTGTTTGTCTGTGTTTACCTTTTTCTTACATTCTTTGTTTTGGAAAATGAATCCTAATAAACGACTAGAATTAAGAAATGTAAATTCTTCCTGATGATGCCTCACAAATATGGGTTTCGTGTTCTCAGTAATCTTCTATTAAAGCCTTAACTATAATTAAGAGCGTCTTTCAAATCAGATTTTTGTTTCTCTACTTTAATTTATAAGTTCTCCCACACAGCAGCTTCTTCACTTTCTGTTGCTGTTTGTTAATAATCAAGAGATGAGACACCTTCCATCTTTTTAGTAAGTCAAGGTGTGAACAGTTGGAGAAGCTGAAATAACATGCAAGTAGTAAGTATGAAGATACAGTGTAAATTCACAATTAAAATTTTTGGGTAAGCAATGATAGACTTTAATTGTCATGAATACTTCAACAGACAAACAACCCACTCTGTTCACATTTCCTCCATGAAAGAGTCTTTCAGAATCTCTGAACAATCTTCAACAGCAGAGAAGAAAGAAAAGCTTCCCGCCAGTTTCCTGCTCTGAAGGAAACATCTGAAGTCTTCATCATGGACAGCGAGACCAAACTCTTACGAAAAACATTTCTCAAGTCAACAACTAAAGAAATGATCCCTGAAAGTATAGTCTTGGTGTGTTCTGGATGTTTCTCAGAGTCTTATGTCTGGAGACGAGAACTTTCACTGATGGTCGACTCCTGAGACTCAGTAACACACTACTGCTACAATCAGTGACAAATTTGACTTTAAAGTTATTCTAAAATATACTGCAGTGAATATTGTTTTGGTGACGCATGCTCAACATTGCATGGGTTGTCAAAGTTACAAAAACATGTTATAAAAACAGAATTTCTTGCATTGTATTGAGGTAAATGCATGCACTTTATTCCTCACTGATTGTAGGAGTGTGTTAGTGAGTGTCAGGAGTCGACCATCAGTGAAAGTTCTCGTCTCCAGACATAAGACTCTGAGAAACATCCAGAACAAACCAAGACTATACTTTCAGGGATCATTTCTTTAGTTGTGGACTTGAGAAATGTGTTTCTAAAGCGTTTGGTCTCGCTGTCCACGATGAGGAGTTCAGATGTTTCTTTCAGAGCAAGAAACTGGTGGGAAGACTTTGTTTCTTCTCCACTGTTGAAGATTGTTCAGAGTTTCTCAACGACTCTGATGGAGGAAACATGATCTGAGTGGACCTTAAACTATGTTTAAAAAACTCACTTTCTCTCAACTGACCTACAAAGAAACATTAAATATTAATACACACAGTATTAAATGTAAATATAACATTTTGTACTCCTTTGACCACAGCTCCATGAATAAACATTAACACCATGAAAACTCTGATGACATTTCTGTAACCAGTTGAGAATGTAAGATTTAAGCAGATACAATGATTATTTAGCTCCTAATATCTGTCAGAGAGTATAAGGTTCACTTTAAAAAACATAACACTGTTTGTCTGTGTTTACCTTTTCCTTACATTCTTCTTTTTGGAAAATGAATCCTAATAAACAACTAGAATTAAGAAATGTAAATCCTTCCTGACGATGTCTCACAAATATGGGTTTCGTGTTCTCAATAATCTTCGATTAAAGGCTTAACTATAATTATGGACGTCTTTTAAATCCAGTTTTTGTTTCTTTACTTTAATTTTTGAGTTCTCCCGCACAGCAGCTTCTTGACCTTCTGTTGCTGTTTGTTAATAATCAAGAGAAGAGACACCTTCCGTCTTTGTATTAAGTCAAGGTGTGAACAGCTGGAGAAGCTGAATACAACTGTGTTTCATAACTATCAACACACTGTGTGAATTTACAATTAATACTTTTGATTAAGCCTTAACAGACTTTATAGTCATTAATTCTTTAACAGATAAACAGTCCACTCAGATCAGATTTCTTTGATCAGAGAGTCTTTCAGAATCTTTGATTAATCTTCAACAGTGGAAAAGAAAGAAAGTCTTTCCACCAGTTTCCTGCTCTGAAGGAAACATCTGAAATCTTCATCGTGTACAGTGAGAAGAACCTCTTTAAAAACACATTTCTCAAGTCAACAACTAACAAAATGATCCCTGAAAGTATAGTCTTGGTTTGTTCTGGATGTTTCTCAGAGTCTTATGTCTGGAGACGAGAACTTTCACTGATGGTCGACTCCTGAGACTCAGTAACACACTACTGCTACAATCAGTCACTAATTTGACTTTAAAGTTATTCTAAAATATACTGCAATGAATATTGTTTTGGTGACGCATGTTCAACATTGCATGGGTTGTCAAAGTTACAAAAACATGTTATAAAAACAGAATTTCTTGCATTGTATTGAGGTAAATGCATGCACTTTATTCCTCACTGATTGTAGGAGTGTGTTAGTGAGTGTCAGGAGTCGACCATCAGTGAAAGTTCTCGTCTCCAGACATAAGACTCTGAGAAACATCCAGAACAAACCAAGACTATACTTTCAGGGATCATTTCTTTAGTTGTGGACTTGAGAAATGTGTTTCTAAAGCGTTTGGTCTCGCTGTCCATGATCAAGAGTTCAGATGTTTCCTTCAGAGCAGGAAACTGGTGGGAAGTCTTTGTTTCTTCTCCATTGTTGAAGATTGTTCAGAGTTTCTTAAAGACTCTGATGGAGGAAACATGATCTGAGTGGACCTTAAACTATATTTAAAAGTCATTTTCTCTCAACTGACCTACAAAGAAATATTAAATATTAATACATAGAGTATTAAATGTAAATAGAACATTCTGTACTCCTTTCACCACAGCTCCATTAATAAACATTAACACCATGAAAACTCTGATGACATTCCTGTAACCAGTTGAGAATGTAAGATTTAAGCAGATAAAATGATTATTTAGCTCCTAATATCTGTCAGAGAGTATAAGGTTCACTTTAAAAAACATAACACTGTTTGTCTGTGTTTACCTTTTCCTTACATTCTTCGTTTTGGAAAATGAATCCTAATAAACGACTAGAATTAAGAAATGTAAATCCTTCCTGATGATGTCTCACAAATATGGTTTTCATATTCTCAATTATCTTCTATTAAAGGCTTAACTTTAATTATGGATGTCTCTTGAATCAAGTTTTTGTTTCTCTACTTTAATTTTTGAGTTCTCCCACACAGCAGCTTTATGGCCTTCTGTTGCTGTTTATTAATATTCAAGAGAAGAGACACCTTCCATATTTGTATTAAGTCAAGGTGTGAGCACTTTCAGAATCTGTAAACACCTTTAAATAGGAATTATCAACATACTGCATGAGTTAATAGTGTATAGTTTTGATTAAACAGTTGGCAAAATTAATTGTTATAAATTCGGTGAGAGACAAACAGTCCATTCAGATTATGTTTCTTCCATCAGAGACTCTTTGAGAAACTCTGAACAATCTTCAACAGTGGAAAATAAAAAAAGTCTTCCCACCAGTTTCCTGCTCTGAAGAAAACATCTGAACTCTTCATTGTGGACAGCGAGACCAAACTCTTTAGGAACACATTTCTCAAATCAACAACTAAAGAAATGATCCCTGAAAGTATAGTCTTGGCTTGTTCTGGATGTTTCTCAGAGTCTTATGTCTGGATACGAGAACTTTGACTTATGGTCGACTCCTGAGCTTCACCGAGAAGTTGCTCCTACAATCAGTGACTAATTTGACTTTAAAGTTCTTCCAAAATATACTGCAACAAATATTTTTGTGACGCATGTTCAACATTGCATGGGTTGTCAAAGTTACAAAAACACATTACAAAAACAGACTTTCTTGCATTATATTGAGGTAAATGCATGCACTTTATTCTTCACTGATTGTAGGATTGTCTTAGTGAGTCTCAGGAGTTGACCATCAGTAAAAGTTCTTGTCTCCAGACATAAGACTCTGAGAAACATCCAGAACAAACCAAGACTATACTTTCAGGGATCATTTCTTTAGTTGTTGACTTGAGAAATGTGTTTCTAAAGAATTTGGTCTCGCTGTCCATGATGAAGAGTTCAGATGTTTCCTTCAAAGCAGGAAACTGGTGGAAAGACTTTCTTTCTTTTCCACTGTTGAAGATTGTTCAGAGATCCTGAAAGACTCTCTGATGGAGGAAGCATGATCTGAGTGGACTATTTATGTATGTTTAAAATAATCTTTTCTCTGCCCTGATTTTCTGTGGTATGAAATATAAAGTAACCACAAGGCATAAATTCAAAATCAGAGAATATTCTGTGTTTCTCTGACCAGAACTGTAACAGTGAAGCTGTAACACCACAAACACTAGTGATGTTCCTTTAGCTAGTTGAAAACCTAAGATTTAAGCAGAAACAATGATTATTTAGCTCCTAATATCTGTCAGGGAATAGAAGGTTCACTTTAAAAACGTAACACTGTTTGTCTGTGTTTACCTTTTCCTTACATTCTTTGTTTTGGAAAATGAATCCTAATAAACGACTAGAATCAAGAAATGTAAATTCTTCCTGATGATGCCTCACAAATATGGGTTTCGTGTTCTCAATAATCTTCTATTAAAGGCTTAACTATAATTAAGAGCGTCTTTTAAATCAGATTTTTGTTTCTCTACTTTAATTTTTGAGTTCTCCCACACAGCAGCTTCTTCACCTTCTGTTGCTGTTTGTTAATATTCAAGAGACGAGACACCTTCCATCTTTTTATTAAGTCAAGGTGTGAACAGCTGGAGAAGCTGAAATAACATGCAAGTAGTAAGTATGAAGATACTGTGTAAATTCACAACTAATATTTTTGGGTAAGCCATGATAGACTTTAATTGTTATAAGTACTTTAACAGACAAACACCCCACTCAGATCATGTTTCCTCCATCAGAGAGTCTTTCAGAATCTCTGAACAATCTTCAACAGCAGCGAAAAAAGAAAATCTTCCCGCCAGTTTCCTGCTCTGAAGGAAACATCTGAACTCTTCGTTGTGGACAGCGAGACCAAACTCTTACGAAACACATTTCTCAAGTCCACAACTAAAGAAATGATCCCTGAAAGTATAGTCTTGGTGTGTTCTGGATGTTTCTCAGAGTCTTATGTCTGGAGACGAGAACTTTCACTGATGGTCGACCCCTGAGACTCAGTAACACACTACTCCTACAATCAGTGACAAATTTGACTTTAAAGTTATTCTAAAATATATTGCAATGAATATTGTTTTGGTGACGCATGTTCAACATTGCATGGGCTGTCAAAGTTCCGAAAACATGTTATAAAAACAGAATTTCTTGCATTGTATTGAGGTAAATGCATGCACTTTATTCCTCACTGATTGTAGTAGGAGTGTGTTAGTGAGTGTCAGGAGTCGACCATCAGTGAAAGTTCTCGTCTCCTGACATAAGACTCTGAGAAACATCCAGAACAAACCAAGACTATACTTTCAGGGATCATTTCTTTAGATGTTGACTTGAGAAATGTGTTTCTAAAGAGTTTGGTCTCGCTGTCCACGATGAAGAGTTCAGATGTTTTCTTCAGAGCAGGAAACTGGTGGGAAGACTTTGTTTCTTCTCCACTGTTGAAGATTGTTCAGAGTTTCTCAATGACTCTGATGGAGAAAACATGATCTGAGTGGACCTTAAACTATGTTTAAAAAAGTCACTTTCTCTCAACTGACCTACAAAGAAACATTAAATATTAATACACACAGTATTAAATGTAAATATAACATTTTGTACTCCTTTGACCACAGCTCCATGAATAAACATTAACACCATGAAAACTCTGATGACATTTCTGTAACCAGTTGAGAATGTAAGATTTAAGCAGATACAATGATTATTTAGCTCCTAATATCTGTCAGAGAGTAAAAGGTTCACTTTAAAAAACATAACACTGTTTGTCTGTGTTTACCTTTTTCTTACATTCTTCGTTTTGGAAAATGAATCCTAATAAACAACTAGAATTAAGAAATGTAAATCCTTCCTGATGATGCCTCACAAATATGGGTTTCGTGTTCTCAATAATCTTCGATTAAAGGCTTAACTATAATTCTGGACGTCTTTTAAATCCAGTTTTTGTTTCTCTACTTTAATTTTTGAGTTCTCCCACACAGCAGCTTCTTGACCTTCTGTTGCTGTTTGTTAATATTCAAGAGAAGAGACACCTTCCATCTTTTTATTAAGTCAAGGTGTGAACAGCTGGAGAAGTTGAATACAACTGTGTTTCATAACTATCAACACACTGTGTGAATTTACAATTCATACTTTTGATTAAGCCTTAACAGACTTTATAGTCATTAATTCTTTAACAGATAAACAGTCCACTCAGATCAGATTTCCTTGATCAGAGAGTCTTTCAGAATCTTTGATTAATCTTCAACAGTGGAAAAGAAAGAAAGTCTCCCCACCAGTTTCCTGCTCTGAAGGAAACATCTGAAATCTTCATCGTGTACAGTGAGAGGAACCTCTTTAAAAACACATTTCTCAAGTCAACAACTAACAAAATGATCCCTGAAAGTATAGTCTTGGTTTGTTCTGGATGTTTCTCAGAGTCTTATGTCTGGAGCAAGGGGCAACCTCTGGTCTCGAAAAATGAAGCCTTGCGGAAGTACAAAAAACTGCAGTTCCTCGAGGTTCCGCTTGAGGCTGGCTGCAGAAGCGCCGGAAGTGCCATAAGCCCACAGCCAAAAAAGCCCGTTTTTACCACAGGAATCAACAGAATGTTTACAGCCTGGTTCAAAAAACGAGATATATCTAAGAAGTTGACGGCCCCTTCTCCTCACACTGTGGGGGGGATGAATTTTTTTATAACTCATCGGATTTTATTCTATTAAGGAAACCGGCTATGCCCATATTTGGTTGTGTCAGATTTGATTGACAGCTCTGCGCGGTCAGCAGGTCAGGAGGCTAACAGCTTGATCCTCTGATTTCTCCTCTTTCTTACTTCGTTTGGAGAGTTTGTTTAACACATATCTGACAACATACATGGCTTGCTGTGCGGTTAACAGACCATCCAACAAGTTGATGCTTCAGTTTTCTTCGGTAAGTGATATAGTAGTGTTATATTTACTGCTTACTCAGTGTCGGTATTTATATTTACGGACCTAGCTTGTTTAGCATTAGCTTGTAAACCAGTCGGCTAACTGTGTAGCTCATTATTTACGGTCAATGTTTTAGAAATGTTTGTTGTTAAGATGTTGTTGTTGAAAATAATGAGTTTGTGTGATGTTAGAAGCTAAAGGTTCAGCTCGGTGGTTAACCACAGACTGTAAATATGGTTATCTGACGTTATGATGAATGTTATACTCCACGTAAATGTGGACATTAAAAAACAAACTTTGTAGTAATTATCCGTCAGTAACATAAACTGAACTGAACCTAATGTGCTGTGTAGGTTATAGAGGATGACATTAAAGTTACATGGTTGATGTAGTGTCTTAAGATTTGTGCAAACTGTTAACAATTTTTTTTAAAAATGCACTTGCGCTCTCAAAAAAAGACCCTTTGATTCACCATTTCAGCTGATTGAATAAGTTAAATATTTCCACATGTTGCAATTGTCTGACACAGATTTTTGCTTCAGGCTTTGAAGATTATAATAGTCATTAAGAGTCCACTCAGATCACGCTTCCCCCACCAGAGAGACATTGAGAAACTCTGAACACTCTGAAATCTCATTCGGCTCCATGGTAAGAAGTATTAATGTGTAAATATTAATGCATTCCTTTGCACTTTGTTCAAAAAAATTGGTATTACATAATTTGGGAAAGTATATTTTTCATCATTCTCTGATGATAAAAGGTTCAAACCCAAAGTTTGAAACTTTATTTTTTACAGATATAAAATCCTTGAGGAATTAAGATGTTGGATATTCCCAAAAGGATCAAAAGGGATACTTGTCAGGTTCACTCGTCTTTTCTCTTTTTAGAACATGTGTGTGGCCTCTTTACTATCATAAACACCCTCTGCTCTTCTCCATGATTACACAAAGTCTGGACCTGCTTGGCTCAAATTACACAGTCAAAGGAAATGATCCCTGAAAGTGTATGTCACGTGTATGTTTCTTTTAGATGCATATTTTAAATTTTCAAATACATAAAGAAGAGAACTTTGACTGCTGTTTGAGAAAGAAACAGTTCCTCTATTTACAACATAATCTATAACAAACAATAAAAACGTTGCCACAGTAAGACAGAAAACACCTGGATCTGAGAGCAGCAGATGATTTCCATCTTGTTTCTTAGAAATGCTCCTTTTTCTAAAAGCCATCTGTACATGTTTCCGCTCATTCTACCTGTGGTTTTTGTGCTATTTTACTGTACAAATTTCCTTTTGGTGCTGATGCAAGTTCGGCAGCAACCGTTAAGATACTTTCACTTTTCATTAGGCTCGTTGTTTGCAAAGATTTTAGTATGCCGACACAGTGGCTGCATGTTAAAATGACCGAGGTGGTTCTTGAGTCATCGTGGAAAGAAAATTTTAAGAGGTTACAAAACATTTGAAAACTACTGCATCATCTTGGACACAAACTCCATTTCTTGTAAATATGTACTTTAAGATATTAAAGTATATCAATGTCACATTCATCAGATGAAATAATAGATTGGTGGTTTGGTTTACTTCTCACTTATTGCAATTGAGTGAGTGAGTGAAGTTATGATCACAGTACATACTCTGTTGACCAAAGCAGAAAAAACAAATTGAAACCTGTCCTCACTTTAGACTTCTCGGTTTTGTTTAGGGAAGTGAAGTTTGCTGGGATTTATTTTTACTATTTGAAGGCAACCTGTGATGTGAATTATATTCAGCGTTGTTGGATGCTGTGAAAGGTCAAGCTTTATTGTAAATAATATTGTTAATAAAAGTCCCTCTGTGATTTTGTAACATCATTGGAAGTTTTCTGGGCTGTTGTACTTGGAGGAAAAGCAATAAAAATGTTTTCTTCTTTGAGAGAAGTGGAAATTGGTTTGATTTTAAAAGTTTTCAGTTCTTTTTTATTATAGTCATAAAGATTTCCCTCTTGAATACAACCTCACTTACTGTATGTGACATTTTAAAACTGTATATACTGTCTGTCCTTCTGAAACCATCTGTGCTTGTTGGTCTTGCATCAGAAGCGTAAATTCTCAGAGGAAATGCGCAAAGGTGCAAAGCATAGGTGCGTAAATGAAAGCAGCAAAGGTTTTCTCACATCATTGCAAAACCAACATCCTGACATCAAATAGTACTTGTATCCTCACCCTCAGTTCAGTGTTTCACTAACCTGCTGCACACGCGGCTGAACGCCACACACCTGACTCGTGCTGCCTTCAGAAGAGATGTGTTCGAGCTGTTTGCCCTGCAGATCCTGCAGAGAAGGTAAGAACACACTGCTGGTTATTAACATCATTAACAGGGTTCATGGACGTTGTTGTCATGGTTTACAGTTTTCATTTTGCTGAAAAACAATGACCGAATATATCAGTTAATTAAAATCAAAAACATTTTGAAAGGTGTAATTAGATTTCTTTTGGGGGTTTTATGCCGATAGAGTCAGAAATCAGAGAGAGAGAGAAAGAGAGAGAGTGGGGATGACATGAGAGAGGGGAGCACCAGGGAGCCTGTTCTTGAGGACTTAGGCCTCTATACAGTGTTTGTGAATGAGATATTTTAGCATAATATACATTTTCAAAAAGTTTTTATTTAAAAAAAAAAAAAGTAAAATACAATCTGTGAAAAATTAATTGAGAGGTAAATCAATAAAATATATTGTTAAATAATAAATAGTCATCTTATTTTGATTTAACAATTGAAAGAAGCATTAAATTAACTCAAATTCAAATTGATTCATAACCAATTATATACATGAAAAGGGACAAATTAAACTTTATGCAAACAAAACGATCGACAGGAATATGGGAAGCAGAAGCAGTTTTCATTTTATGGTTAACGCTTACTCAATTTGATAATGTGCTGCTTTTATTGCTGTTCAGTTCAGTTATATTATATTGAATATCTGTGAGGACTGGGCATTGGCTACAGGACATTGAGTCTAGTCTTTTTTAATGACCAAATAATCAAACAAGACATTCATTGATGAAAACAGTCTGTGAGGAAAGAAGTATTCAAAACATTGATTTTTGACATGTTGGTGAGGCTAGAGAAAAAAGTAACTGGATCACTAGATCCCCAATTGTTCGGCAAAATGTTATAACTGACAAAATGATAGTCAAGATTTAACTTTTTAAGCACACGAGGGACCAACATTGCCTCAGCGCTTTTGTGTCTAAATAAAGACCCTGTGTGAGCGTGTGCGTTTGTGTATGTGTGGACTTTCCCTCCATCTGGGAGGATATTCACATAAAGGAGGCGCAAAGGAGGAGCCTGCTGTCTCTTCAAAAAAAAGAGCCTCCAGCTCACAGCAGCTGTGTTTTCTAACGGTTTTACCAGAGCTGGGACTGTGAGATCAGGGTGAGTAAAAGCTGCTGGGGGATATAACTTTAAAAATAAGTCCCAACGGATTTGGGAGTTTAGACTGCGTATGTTTACTAAAAGTGTCAGAGTCTATTATTTCACATGGAATAGAAGTCAAATGTGATGCCTATGACATTTTATACGGTGTCATCTGAGGGTTATGGTTTACTGTTATTCATTAATGAAGCGAAAATGTAACTATAACCTTTGTATTATTGTTTTTTATTTAATTTCTTTATGTTACTTGTGTGCTGCTAGTTGTGGTATTTTTATGCTTTAAGTTTGATGTTTTTGTATGTATTGAGGAAGTATGATGAGATTAGTTGTTGCTCCGTTTGTGTTGTTGTGACACATAAATCACTTTGTGATCTTTTTTTGAATGGTATAAAATGAATTGTAACTTATGAGCTAATAGTGGGATGTGAGTGGATATGTTGGCTTGCAGCTGTTTTATTTAAACACATTTTTAACGATGTGCTTTGTTAATTAATGTCCTGTGAAAGAGGCACATAGAACTGTAATAGAAAGAATACTTTGCCCAAAAGACTAAAATGTGTAAACTCAGTATACTTTTATAGTACACAGTATATTTTACAATCGAGGAAAAAAATCTTGAAACGCATTAAATTACAAAGACAAACCCAAAATCTCACTTTGAAAAAATTTATGAAAGAAAGAAATGGAATTCAGCCAATAAAATTCTATAAATATGACATTTTCAGCTCATTAATGAAGCTGGCAACATTAAACCTGAGCTGTTCCTTCTTGTCTTGTATTTCTCTACATAACAAACTTTTGTCGTCTCTATGTCTCCACAGCTTTGTCAGAGTTCATCTCCCGGACAAGAATGCGGACCCGGTCAGAATCAGCGGAATCAGTCGGTCTCGGGATGAACCATCCCCCGGATCAAAATGGAAAACCCGAAGGAGGACGACGGTTTAAACTAAAGTTATGGGGAGGTCAGAAAGCTCAGAGCCAGGCTGTTGTCGGGAACACCACTCCCCCGACTGGAGGACGCTACTCACCGAGGGACAAGGAGCCGAAAATCGGTCAGTCAAATCAGAAACTTTCAGCTTTAAAAGCTAGCTAAGACAATATCATCCTTTGCCGAACGAATGTTACCAAGGCAACGGAGCGAACGTTACCCTGGCAACGGTTGTAAGCACGCAGCACGACAGTTTTTGCATTAGAAACCGAAAAATAATTAACAGACTTCATTTTTGTACTACAGTAACTTATAAAGTCATGGTCAAAGAAAAAAATTCATGAAGCAGACATTTAAATATTTTAAATATTTTCCTGTTATGTATTTATTTTAATATCTTGTTGCTTTTATGTGTCGTATTTTATTTTATTTTATTTTTATACATTTTTAATTCTAATTGGTGTGCATTAGTCTCTCAATGATTTTATCAATGATTTTATAAACTACTTTTTGTCAATAACTTTTCTGCACTCTTGTTAAGCACTTTGAACTGCAATTTAATTTGTCTGAAAGGTGCTATATAAATAAAGTTTGATTGATTGATTGATTTATCACAAAAAAGACTTGTTTTCCGTCAAAACCAAATATGTAAGCATGCGATTTAATCATTTAGCCAAATAGTTGATTTCTGTATTTTATAAATCTTCTTTAGTGTCTTTTTTCTGTTAATTTGCTTTAGTTTGTAGGTTATGTGTATTTCTATCACTCTGAAGGTTGTTCTTGTACCTATGTTCATTTAGAGCAATGGTTTTCAACAGGTGGGTTGAGCTGATTATGACTAATATTTAAATAATAGATAATTCAATTGTTGTTCATAAAAAAAATGTACTTTGGGCCCCAGTTTATTATGAAGAGTATTTTCATATCCAGGAAAATACCAGGCTGATCAAATCACCATGCTACATCTGCTCCTTGAACAATTTTTTTTTTTCCCTTGTAACAAAGTCTAAGGCAATACAATAAGGATTTGATTCAATTCCAAGGGCCTTTTCTTTCCATAAACCTATCCCTATCCTTTGCCTTGTTATAAATAACATCAACAACTTTTCTTCCACAGTTGCCCCCACATTGGAAGAAATCCTTGCGGCAAAAGATGCTCAACACTTGTGTGAGGCCAGCCGGCAGCTGATAGAGAGAGAGGAGCGTCTGTTTGGGGAGAAAATAGAGACAGATTCCCTCACACATAATGCAGAAGAAGTAGACAAGCTTGCAGTGGACTACAAGAACCTGAAATCCCTTATTTTCACGACTCTGAGACTATCTCTCAGCCCAGGAGAAATCAGTGTGGAGGCCCTGACGTCAGCTGTGAAGGCTTTAAACCAGGTAGTCGACCAGGACCAGCAGTGGAAAAAGGGGAATTGGCCAACACCTGCCTGGAGACATGACGACTTGAAGAAGCTCCACGAGTCGACGCTTCGCAGCCTGGTGGAGGATCGTATGGACAACTCTACGTTGCCCCATGCTGATAAGAGGGAGATGTCATCTTTTCAAGTGGATGTAAACAGCATGGGCAGGCAGCTGAAGGATGACCTGCTGCTGGTGGTGGAAGTGGTGAAGAGATGCTACCCGCCCGAGCAGGACATCTGTAACTTCTATGCCGGGTTGTACCACCAAACCTTCAGTTCCAGACTCAGAAAGATCGCAGACTTTGGATTGGAGGACAAAGACTGCACTTTCCTCCTGCGCTGGGTGAACGAGTACTATCCACAGTAAGTCATTAACTAAATGTGTTTTTAATCATTTGCACCTTATAATTCTGGCTCAAGTCTGTTCTCTGTTGTATACCGCAATGTTGGATAAAAGGTGGATTCCATAGCACTGATCTACTTTATCATCTCAAAACACTGTATTGGTTTATAATTCATATTTGACATTAAACAATTTTATTTTGATCGGTAAAGGCACTTTTAGAAAACATTTTTTACTGACATTGTATGCATATGATGGCTTGTTCTTCTAAAATAAGTATTTTACAAAATTACAAAAAATTGGCAAATAAACAAATGTATCATGATAAGTATCTTTTTGGCAGATTCTGACAAGTAAGCTGCACTAAATATTCATGATCTCTAGAGAATGAGTCCTCATGTTTTTGGCATCAAACATGACAATGATGGAAGCAGATTCCTGCGCTCGGTTGCATCAGCTATGCAGGTGCAAAGTCCTCTGATAGTTCAGTTGCCATGATGATCATTTTTTTGTGAACCATTTGTTCATTTCTAGGCTTTTAAGAAAAAATAATTCAAAGTAACAAAGAAAATAGGACTTTTACTCCAGTTGACAATGGCAAATGGACATTTTTTTTGCATAAGGGGTCACAAGTGAAGGAGGAACATTTTTTTTGTCTTTTTTTTTAACAGTAAGCTTTGATTGTTTTAACTGCGTTTCCCACTGGTGTTCACAAACAGAGTGTCAAGCAGCTAAACGCAGAGTCTTGTAGTAACAAAGCAGCTGCCTGTCGTTGCTCTGATCATTCGACACTGCAGATGTTTTAAAGTGTTGATTTAAAATGTTCATATCTTCTCTCTCCCTCTCTCTCTCAGAATCCTTCAAAAGCCAGAGCTGTCCTGTGAAATCAATGCTGAAGTGTTGGGAAAGCTGCTGCCTGAAGAGTTACTGAAACCTCTGGAGGAACAATTCCTGAGCAAACAACAGGTAACCGGAGCCGCTGATACCGGCTGGAGTTGAGCTTTGTGCAATGTTTTAGATCCATCATCCACATTCAAATCATTACTCAAGACTCACCTTTTCACACAGGCTTTAAATGTGTGATTGTGATGTGTGTTCTTCTCATGTGTGGTTTATATGTTGTTGTCTACATGACCTGTGTGTAATGTTGCAATGTTTGTTAGTTTGTTCCTACTCTTTTTTCTTGATCTTTCTATATTTACTAATGTACAGAGCTTTATAAATTAAATATATTATTCACATGTGATGAGATAAATTGTGATTTTATACAACTGGGAACATTTAGTGGCAAAAACAAGTCGTTTTTAAAGGCCCGTTGTTATTAGTGACAGCAGAGTTGTTGTTGTTGTTTATTCAGGAAGAGCTGCAGACTTACATCGTCCGTGTCCTGGACGAAGCGGAGCAAAGGTGGAGAAAAGGGGAGGAGCCGACAAGAGAGGACGGCTGCTTCGTCAGTCATGTGGCCTACGACATCATTCAGGTACAGTTACTGGTTACTAAAGAAAACACGATATTACGGCAGCTTTCAATCAACATTTAAATTAGTATAACAATTTAAAAATGACATGACGATGCATAAAAGCTTTAAAAAACACCTGTACACAAACCTGCTTATCAGCAAAACAGTAGAGAGACACAGGTAAACCTTTCTCACACATGCACCTCTGTACATTTCTGGAATATTTAAGGCAGATTGCCCCTGAAATCTTCCTGAGGTGGTTGTTCACACATGCACCTCACAGTGGTTTTCTTAGACACACTTGTTTAGTGGACGCTGCACTCTAAATCTCCACATCATTAAATGTGCTTTCATGCTTATCAACAAGCCTCCTGTGATCATTAAAGGAACCAAAAGAAAGAGATGTGATTTTACAGACATGTTCTCCTTAACCATTCAGAGCAGGAAATCTATTTTAGTTGAGACCTGTGGTTTTCTTCCCACACTGTGTTTTTTGTGAGGCTGTTTCACATTTTAGCCTACAGCCAAAATGGAAAAGAAAACAAGCTTCTTCTTTTTTTAACTGAGATAAAAAATTAACCAACAAGGAAGAAGCACTTTGAAATGTTGATAGAAAGTCATTCACCCTCAGTTCAAAGTCACAGTGTCAAAACCCTGTCATGGTCCTGCAGCAGGATTAGTCCAGTTAGACGAATTTAAAATAGCAACAAGACTTTCATTGATTTACGATATTGTTTCATAAACTGTAATTTATTTGTATTCTCGCTCTGTCTTCAGCTTGTCCACAGCATGGTGTCTACAGCTGCGACGATTGTGGGAGACATACACAAGGCCCAGATAATAACGAGCCAACTGAAGGCTTTGTTGCCGAGGTAACAGAACAATGTTCATCATAAATAATGTCATTAGTGACCACTTAAACTATGTACATCCAAATCAGCAGTTTTTAATCAGATACAAATACCTTCAGTTTCCAGACCTTCCAAAACAACGTCATGAAGCAGAACAAACCAAACAGCCAGCCGATCATCAAGGCAAACCTCGGCTGCATCCAACAGTTCATGTAGGTTTTCCTCTCTTTACGTGTTGTCGTTTCAAGAGATCGCACTTGATAGAAAACATCCCTGTAAGCTTGTGTGACCTCTTTCTTCCTGTCCGCCTGCAGGGAGCTCTTCAATAAGAAGCATCATCTGTTCCAGGACGATGTGCGGACAAAGTGTTTGCAGATTCTGACTGACATGAAACAGTCTGCCCACACTTATTTACTGAAACCCGTGCATGTCGTGCTCAAGGTACGTTCATTTACAACAACAACAAAAAGTATTCAAAAGAGTCAAAAATGAATGGATCCTACTAAAGAACTGAAGTTAAGAAGAGTGTGTGTTTGAATGAATGAATCTGTGTTTTTATGTCTGGCCTCATATCGCTCATGTTTTCTCCTCATACAGCCAAAGTACTACCTGCTGGGAACCAGTGACTGGCTGAAAAAGCCTGAAGTGTTTGAGACACTGCTGGACAGCATGGAAAAGGAGATTCAGGATCTTCAGGGCTCCATTCAATCCTGTCACCAGGTAGACTTCAGAACACATCAAACCCAGCCTCACATTCAGAGGAATGCTGCTGTGTCAACACTTTGCATGTCCTGCTTTAGTTGCATTTCTTGAAGGAATTTCCAACCATGAAGCTACTGGTTTCCATATATAAACATACAGGTTACAAATTAATTAGCAGGACACAAAAATGTTTGAGAATTTTATCAACTCAAGCGAGCGCCTTTAGTCCTAAAACTGATTGACCAGCTGAAATAGAAATATTGGAAGCCAACTGCCGCCTGGATCTAAAAAATGTGAAACCACTTGTATTGTTCTATGATCCTTTTAACTGAATATTTCTATTTCATTTTGTTTTTTCTTACATTAAGTTTCTGATGTGATGATTGGATTTGATTGATTTCAGGAGCTGATTGGTCAGCTGCACCAAGAAGTGACAGCAGAATATGTGAAGAGGCTCCTGAAAGTAAAAGTCAAACTGAAGGACAGGGAGCAGCAGCATAAGGCCTACCAGAAGATCAAAGACAACGCGGAGAGTTTGCAAGACTTGTTTGGAAGAATGGTGAGACAGAGATTTGGATTTTTTGTTGAAACATTTATTTTTTGACCACAAAAAGGTAAATGAGAAAGTGATCCAGGTAATATACAATTACTCTTTCTCTCAGGGGTCAAAGGAGGATTGGCTGAATGAAATACTGGCCAAGATTGCAGAAGTGCTGAAACTGCAGGAACTCCCGGCAATACAGATGGAAGTCGTGTCACTCGGGACTTCTTTCCCAGACCTCAGGTGAACTTTGCACTGACAGTATTTACATTTTTTAACAAATGAATAGACCATATTTTACAGGGACATGTCGTGGTGTTAGGTCTACACAAGTCTAACAGACCTAATAAGGACAGAAAAGCACCATGCGACTGGTTTACATTACATTTGGCTCTGTATAAACAAACCCAATCTCCAGAGAGAGCCGAGGGACAACAGGAAATAGAAATATGCTCAGATGTTTCCTGGCAGCAGGATGATATGATGAGCTAAAAGCAGACATGCTGCCACTCAGTTTACCCAGAGAGCTGTGGTGACACTGAAACTAACACAACTTCAAATTCCAGTAAAAAAAAAAAGGACATAAGCAAGTTGTGCTCCATCCAAAGGTGAAAAAACAGTCCTTTTAAACGTGACTAATTAACAAGTTACATTCATATAGAACAAAAACAGATATTTAGAAGTGACTATTTGTGCTTTTAAAGGGTTCCTTCAGAGCCTTTAAGGTCACATATTATACAAAATACACGTCACCGTGGGTTCCTACACTCATATGTGCCCCTAGTCTTTCTAATAACCCCCCAATGATGAGAAAAGTCCATCCTCTCCGTCTTCAGCCTGCTCCACTTTTCAGAAAATGTGTGCTCAAACAGGCCGTTTGGAGATTTTCCCTTCATGACATCACAAAGGGCAGTAGCCCCTCCCCCAGGTGGGTAACACTCCTGCAGCTAGGTGTTTGTTCGGCCCTCTGAGTCTGCCTTCTCACCGTAAACAACAGTGCATGGAGCTAAAAAGCCCGAGTACACCAAAGCCCTTCCAGAGAGGAGGCGTGGTCAGACACAGCTCATTTACATATTTAAAGCTACAGACACAGAAACAGCCTGTTCTGAGCAGGGCTGAAATAGAGGGGTTTATAGACATGATCAAATGCAGGATCAGACTGGATTTAGAACAAGAAACTTCACACACATGTTTTGAGGAGCTTTGAGAATTATTTAAACTGGTTGAAGAGGAGGAGAATATGTGACCTTTAAAATGTTTTGTTTATTAAATTTTAGGTCAGAAAATGTCTTTAAAAGTCTTACTGTTATACAGACAGGCATTTATATTGTGTGACCAGCATGTGCAAAGCTGTCCTTGTACTTTTGGCCGTGTTATGTATGCAGTCTGATTAGATTTTTAAGTGTTCGTCGTTCTGTTGTTGTTCTTCAATAGGATTTATTTGTGGTGGATTTGACACCAAACTGATTCTCTGATTCTTATTGCAACAATTGTCTACAATCATATTAAAGCATTGTTAAGATGAATCACCTTGCAGGGTTAAGAATGAAAATCACTAAATCTTTCCTGTCTTCTTTCCCTCACAGTGAGAAACATGTTTCAGCTCTCCTCAAGCTCAAGACCAACGTTTCCAAAGACAACAGGAAAACGGTCAAAGACACTCTGTCTGATTATCTGAAAGAAATCGACAATGTCGCTAGTCGACCATTTTTCTCCAAAGTCCAGGTGAAATAAGAGCCATGCACTCCAGTGTTACGTCCAGTTCTCCTGATTTCAGCCTTTTTAAAGATGGCGGCTGAGAGTGAGCCTGCACAGTATCATGTGTTTTAGATATTTGTATTTGCTCAGTTTTGTCGAGCAGGACACCGATGTTTGGAGTCCGAGTAGATCAGATTAATTCTCCATTACTGTATGAATGTATATGCTGCAGCTCATGTTGTTGCTGCTCAGTACTGTGCGTCTTACTGCTTAAAAAAAAAAAAAGACATGTAGTGGAGAGTCTTTGCTGTGTTTTGTCTCAGAGATCAGTGTTGTCAGAGTTAGTCTATACTTTTATATGAAGACAGTGTTATAATTATTTTTTATACATTAATGTGCAATAATGAGAAATATCTAGCTGTAAAGTTTTATTTTTTTATGTCAAGTCATTGGATGTACAGAATATTGTAAATCAAGATTATAAATAAATGTGATGAAAGCTCTTTGATTTGAAGTGATTTTCTAAAGTGGAGCCGTACATTTTTTACCTCACTTTGACATTCAGCAGCAGAATCTGATTTGACTCTCATGTGAGGGAACATCAAGTCTTCAAGTTGTAGGAATTTACTGATGTGATGAGATGTGAATCAAGAAGGTCGGAGCTGAGCGTCACAGATCAACTCAGGAAGTAGTTGATTATCGGTTTGTTTTTATACTTGTGATCGAATACACTGACTAAAAAACAGGCGATCACCACAGTTTTCTATGTTGGCATGAATTAAATATTTACGCTAACACACATTTCCTCAACTGAAATTACTGTTTGTACACCTTAAAGTAGGAAACAACCAGTGTCGAGCTTTGGACAGGGACAAAACAGAAAGAAATCTGTAATATCTGTAATAATAGCAATCCATCTAATAGTCGTGAAAACACTTCATTTAAAACCTCTGATATCAAACGTTCACCTAAAAAGCGTTGCCCACTCTGTTTCCTGTTTCAGCCGTGTTATGATTTATAGGTCATGACATGTGTGACACTTATCTTGCTGGCTGTGAAACAAATCTCCCCTCGAGGTAAAAATAAAGCGACCTGACCTGAATCTGAACGCATCCAAGGGCTAAGACACGGCCTAGAGCCATGTTTCCATGGCAACAATCAGTGACACCATTAAGTCTTATCAGACTGCACTGCAGGAGCGTGGTGTTGTTGGTAGTAATCACCGGCTCTCCATCATGGTACGTCTTCACAAAATTAATCCAACCCTTGTTTATTTCCTTGTCTTTGGGGAATTTGAACAAACAGACGCAGCTGTTCTTCAAATTCTGGAGTCCAGGGAAGATACACATGTAGTACGAAGGCATAGCTAGCTAGCAAAACTGCTACGACTGTGACGTTGGAACGTCTAATAACCTCAAAATCAAGCTGGAGGACCAAAGTTGCTATCGCTCTCATTACTTTTATATCGGTGTAGCGATAGGGGGAGTGGGATTAAGCATAAGGAACCCCAGTTTGTCATAGAGCCCTGGATTTGGCCCCGCCCATAAAACCCTGAAAGTGAAACTTGTGAAAAAGTTTTGTAATGGTCTAAATCTGTTATTCAGTCAAACAAAGTTCTCAGTCATCTCACATGTTTACAGCTACTATTAAGAGACAAATCTCTAATTTTACTTTACAGGGACTTTCAGTCAAATATTGTAACTGTTGGAAACCTGCATAGTTTTATGTTTTACAAACTGTCCAGTTAGTCCAATAGGTCAGTTTGGTGCTGCAGACACATTTTGACATCTGTCAGATGACTGAGGGGGCACCGGAAGCCCGGGGTTAGTGAGTACGCCCCATGTACAGAGGATTAAGTCCTGGAGAGTGGGCGGCCAGGGCTTGAATCCAACTCGTGGCTCCTTTCCCGCATGTCATTCCCTCCTCTTTCTCTCCCTGATTTCTGACTCTATCCACTGTCCTATCTCTAAAACAAAGGCATTTTTCCTTAAAGTCTGAAGATATATTTAGGTCATTGTATTTTCACTCAGTAGATATCTTACATATTTGTCCTTTAAAATATAAAAACATGGATTTTTCCACATGCAGATATGGCAATTAATCTTCCCGGACAGCTCACCAGGGGAGCACTAAAACACCATCACAAGTATTCAAAACACATCCAAACAATTGAGCCTCTTGTGCGGGAATGAAAGCCACATGAAGTGTGCCGAGCTGTTTCCAGATTATAATTATTTATGGAGCTATATCAACTTACAAAGATGTGACTTCCAAGGGGATTCCTGCAAACTAATGTCAGAAGAGTTGGCTTTCCCTGAAAGTCTGTTTGTGTTTCTGTGTTAGGAAGGATATGTTCAGGAAGAGAGGGGCCTTATCTACAAGTTCCCATTTGGAGAGCAGATAGAAAGGAAGGAAGACAAACTTATTAAAGTTGTTTGTAGTGAACTGTACTGGGAATAATCAGGCTGACAAAAACTGGAATCTCCTTAATGCGTTCCAGCTGTGAGCGGCCGATTCAATAGCTGCTTTCATGAAGTTACAAAAGGCACCACAACCCCTGCCAAGCTGTCCCCGAGAGAAACAGGGTCAAATATGCAGTCTGAAGGGACTTGGGTTGGAAACCGGAGGGTCTCCTGTTCAAGTCCTGGTGCAGATCAAAAATATGGAGGTTGGTCTGGTAGCTAACCAAAAATAAATCAATGAAAGTATTTGTATGCTTTGGAGAATAGATGAACATGAGTTGTGAGCAACTCAGATTCTTAGGTTTGAAGAGATGTACTGTGATTGAAAGAAAAGAAGACAATATGAGTGGAGGAAAATTCTTATTCTTGTTGAGACCCATTATAAGGTCACAAACCTTTATTTTGGGATCTGAAATATATCTCAGCCTTTTTTTCCCCATTTTGGCAAGACGATGTCGCCATCCAGTGGCAATGCAATGAAAACAAAAACAGCTTTTTTTTATTGAATCAGAAAGTAGTTTTTTTCTTACATTTTATTACAGAAGAAGTAGTGCATCTTATATCCCTGATACCTGATCCATTATCTTTTAAACAAGATAAATCAGCAGTACAAAATGACAGAAACGGCTGAAAATACAACCTTATAAGAGGGAATTAAAACCAGTAAACAAACGTTCAAAATACTAATCAAGGTAGCCTTTTTGTTCCCAGTATCAACTGAACATTTTACATTTCATTATTTCAGGTTTATATATGTATTTTGGGGTGGCTGTGGTTCAGTGGTAGAGTCGGATGCCTCTCAACCAGAAGGTCGGGGGTCCGATCTCCAGCTAGTGCAGCCACATGTCAGATGTGTCCTTTGGCAAGACACTTAACCCCAAGTTGCTCCAGCTGCTTCGGGGGCAGCGTATGAATGTGCATGAATTTGCAAATACTGATGGTCACATGACATAGCAGCCTCTACCATCAGTGAGTGAATGTGTAGGTGTGAGCTCCGGAGTGAAAACGCTTTGAGTAGTCAGAAGTATCAGAACAAGCTCAAGTCCGTTTAAAAGGAAACACAAAAACATTTCACATAAAATTCACAACACATCTGCTGACGTATCAAAATGGTTCAAACAGAATCTGTAGTTCAGAAGTGTGAAATGATAAATAACTTCAACTGTACGACCACACGTTGTGTTAACTGTAAAGTTTGACAACATTTGGAACGCATGAAAAATTATATAAATTCGTAAGTTAAATAAATAAAGAGATAAATAATATTCAAATATGAACATAGAAATTTAGAGACCGTGCCTCTTTGTCCGCTCAGTGTAAGATAGACTTTAGTGCATAAACAAATAAGTATGTAAACTAAATGTACACAAAATCCCCGTTTCCACCAAGCAGTCCAGTTCAGTTCGGTACGGCACGCATCTATTGCTGTTTCCACTGACAAAAGTTGGGAATAGTACCAATATAAACGATCCGTGCCATCCTACTTTTTTGCTCCCCCCCTCTGTTGGGGTGCCAGGCGTACCAATCAGACCCTAAAGGGTGAAGCTAGACACACTGCAGTCTGCTGATTGGTCAAAAGATTCATCACTTCCTGTGCAACAGCAGTAATAAAGGACAAACACAAAATGTGCTATATTTAAATAACCTGTGGATTTCCAGAGAGTAATTTCAAGGCTGTTTTTTTTTTTGTTGGCGCTAAAAAGCTGTCGCCATCCGGCTTACACATCCAGGCCGCTTAAGACAAAGACAAGCTTTTAAGGGGTTTGAAACAAGAGTAAGCAACAACATTTCCCTTCAAAGTAACGCCTTTTGATAACCACATCTTAACAAAATAATCCCTTAAACAGCGTAGTTCAGCAAAAAAAATTAGCATAAGCAGAAATTCAGCTTAGTATTTCTGTCAACGTTGCTCAATCATTGTGCCATTTTCTTCAACCATAATCCAGATAAATAAAAAATAAAAAAACATGTAAACAACTCAAACGACCAAAATAATTTTCCTATTTAGCTTTTGTGGAGATTGTATCTCTTAGCTTAGTGTCATAAGACTTGTGTTACTTTGCAAATCGAGGACAAAATATTTTTGCAACAAAGCTTTCTACAAAAAAAAGAATAACTCTTAAAAAGAAGACTTAAAAAGAAGTCCTGAGATGACAACAATATGTACGGAAATCAGATATGATTAGTGTAACTTACTCAGAAAGACCTACTTTTGTGTCAAAGCTTATCAAAGGTTAAGTAACTTCTCTGCTTGTTTATATATACAGTACACACATGTGTAACTTCAAACAAGGTTTTAAAAAGGTTGATATAAATCAAAAGGTGATATCTTTAACGGAGTGGACTTTCAGCTCGGCCCTCTTTGCTTGTTGCAGTTGATCGTCGTCAGCCTTCAGCAGCACTTCAGAGCAGAGAAGCAGAACACAGATCTGGGTTGTCGCCCTGGAATGGCGTCCAGCACCTCCTCAACCTGCCATCCAGGAAGCCCCTTCCATCGTAGCAGTTTGGGCAGAAGATCAGGGCCCTCGCTGCAGAGAAGAACAAAACCCCCAGGTGTGTTTAATCCTGACAGCTGCTTTTACAAATACTGAAACAGATGTAACACTGGCTAACCTGCTATCACCAACTCGATTCTAGAGTCTATCGGGGCCCAAGGCAAAATGTATTGGGGAGGTACTCCAACCAGCGTTTAGTGGGGCAATGAAAGTGAATGGGATGAACAATGTACATATCAAAGGGGTGTAAACTCATCAGGGATGGAAAAAGCTGACATGGATCCAAACCCTCTAGGGGGGTCCGGGGGCATGGTCCCCCGGGAAGATTTTTTTTTTTAAATATCAGCTTTAAAATGTGAATTTACAGACGATTTTAGCATTCAGACCGACTAAAGAAGCGGTGCAAATAATAAGAAAAACACAATTGCTTGTCTATATCTATGTTCTGTTCTAACTTTTTGATAAAGCTTCAGTGAAACATGAGAAACCCGTGCTCCCAACCTTCAGTCCCTTTTTATAAATGGGATGAATTTGCAGAACAGGGTTCCACTAAGGGG